GTGTATTCTATCAACTTATGAGGAGGCGCACAAGGGATGGAAACCGGGATAGAAACCCCTGGATAGTTGTTCAGTTCAGTCGTGCCACAAGGTGTAATTTGTAACAGAATATTATCTCTAATACACCAAATTAAGTATTTGATCTCTGCAGGATTTTACACCGAATAAAAATTTCTTGGCCAGCACATCGAGGTGACTGCGGTTAGAGCTAATTGTAACACCGCAAAACACAATTCTATTGATGTTTGAAGTTTTTTCACTCATGATGCTGCATTGGAGAAGCACTCTCCGTAAGTTCTAAAGACTTGCAGGAATATCAAATAGATAACTGTGTGCAAATAACCTTCTTTCAAGAAGTTCAAGCCCTTTGGTAGTAACAATCCTTCACCTGTAGAAAAACTACACTCGCTCGAGATCACAATGAAAGATAAGGATCCCTTCAAAAACTTACCATACCACAGAGACGCTGGCTCTTGATTGATCTACCATCATTGTCAGCTAAGAAGTGACTAGTTCAGGTACTTGAGCGCCACATGTAGGATTCCGTCAAGGGCGGCGATCCCCCCCTTCCTTCGCCGATGGTCTTACGGCGAGGGAACTACGATGCCCCCATCGGCGTTAAGCAATGTCGGGGATGCGGAGCCCCGATCGCCGATACACGACGACCACGGCCCGTGATACCGACTTACACGGTAGGTAAGACGGGGCTGCACGAGTGAGACTGCCGTCTTGCGAAAGTAAGCTGCATTCAAAGCGGCCCTCATTGAAATCTTATATAAAGCATCAATGATTCCTCGGTTGAATTCATCTATCTAAGACCCACTATCAACTTCATCAAGGCCAATATATCACGACTTCATCACCAAGACATTCCTAAAATGACACCGCTTAAAGGAAAGACGGCAATCGTCACAGGAGCATCCCGTGGACTCGGCGCAGGCATGGCTCTAGACCTCGCACGCAAAGGCGCATCCGTAAGTCCCTCCAACGTCCCACCCTCCTACTGCTGCATTCGCTCACTAACAACAGGTAATGCTCCTCTACACCTCCGACTCAAGCGCCCCCAAAGTCCAATCCCTCATCACACAAATCACCTCCCTCCCACACACCCCCTCCGCAGTATCCTGCAAAGCAGACCTCTCCTCAGAAACCGCCCCCGCCGCAGTCCTCGCTGCCCTCGACGCCTGGCTCGGCCCAGACGCCCACATCGACATCCTAATCAACAACGCTGGCACAGAACTCAACGCGCCGCTAGGGAACATCACCACCGCCGACTTTGCAAAAGTATACGACCTCAACGTCCGCGCGCCGCTCCTCCTAACCCAGGCCCTTCTCCCGCGCCTGGCCCCAGAGGAGGCACGCATTATCAATATCGGCTCCGTTGGCGGACGGCAAGGGTTCCCTGGGTTGGGGCTGTATTGCTCCTCCAAGGCTGCGCTTGAGGGTCTGACGCGGGTTTGGGCGCGGGAATTGGGGAGGAATGGGACGACTGTGAATTGTGTTGCGCCCGGGCCGGTGGAGAGCGATATGTTGGATAAGATTCCGAAGGAGCTGGTGGAGATGCAGAGGCGGCAGACGCCGGTGGAGAATCGGACGGGAACGGTGGAGGAGGTTGCGAGGATTGTGTCGTGGCTTGCTGGTCCTGAGAGTTCGTGGGTTAGTGGGCAGGTCATTAGTGCCAGTGGTGGTTGGGCGATGTACTGAGGGGGTTATGTATATCCTGTTCGAGAGGATGGAGCGGAGTCGACGAAAATTCATACGTTGATATCGGAGGCTGTTGTCCAATACATAGTCGTTGGCAGACAGGAACATATTGCTCAAGCTCTAAACATTTCGCAATCATCACCTACTTGGGCTAGAGGAAATGCCTATGTCACATTAAGAATTGAAGCATTCCTCGCAAGCAATGAATCTTGGGTATATTCTTTTTCCTATTCATCTCTCAGCATCTAAGCAGAAGCCTTGGCAGCCTCCTTTTCCTTTGCCTTGGCGGCCTTCTTCTCGTCGATTTGGCGCTGCTTCTCCAGCTTCTTGAGCTGATTCTTCGTCATCTTGCCGTCGGCACCCTCAGCGGGGCCATCAGTGTTGGCCTCGCGGATAGGGATGGACTTGAGGTTCTCGGCAAGGCCCCAGGACAACGGCCGGCGGGAGAAGAAGAGGTTGACAGTCTCCTCGTCCACCTTGGCTCTCCTCTCCTGGAAGGCCGTGCAGTACTTGGCCAGCTCCTCGGCGCACCTCTTCTTGATCTCGCCGGTGAGCATCTTCCCTGTGCGGTAGTCCTCGCGGATCTTGGCCAGCTCCTCATCATCGTCGAGGAAGAAGCGCAGGTATTGGTAGCTGACATCGACTGAATATTGATGTTAGCTACTACGCACACAAAATCACATTCTGGGTCTGCGATCTTACCATCCGGATCGGCTCCCTCAGCGCGCTGCTCCTCGGCAGTAACCTTGCCACCGCTGAAGGCATACTTGTTCATCTTGTTCTGGATCTGCTTGGGTGTGTCGTTCAAGAAGATGGCACTTGAATCAATCGACGCCGACATTTTGGAGCCGGGCCCCTGAAGAGCATCGAGGAAACGAGAGTGAATGAGGGAGGGCTTGGCGTAGCGCAGGCCGGCGGCACAATCTCTTGTCACACGGAAGTAGGGGTCTGTCTTGACGTTAATCTCAACTCGTTTTTATGGCTATACTGGGCAGGAAAGACAAACCTTGGTCAATGGCGCAAGGAATAAGGCAAGGAATCTGAGAAGTCTTCGCCTCGTCATCGCCAAAGATGTGGGGGAATGAGTTGCCGAAGGAGGAGCTGGCTTGGATACTGGCAAAGTGAACCTTGCCAATGTTGGAACTGTCGTCGAAGCCGAAGACGGCCTTGGCTGTGTTAAGAGTGATTCTCTTGGCCACACGAGTGACGTTCCTATGACAGGTCAGCCTTCGTTCTCTATTGCGCCTCATATAAGGTGATACTCACTTGTAGAAGTTGCCGCCCATGTAGTCGTAGTCGGAGAAAATGAAGGTCCTCTCGGGGTTGAAGCCAATGGCAATGCTGCAAGACGTCAGAAGTATTCTTGCGAATATTGTTGTGAGCCTTACATGTCCTTGGCGTTTTCTCTTGTGTAGTGCTGAACCTCCTCGACCGTTCTCTTCTCAGAAAAAAGGAACTTCTCGTCTGCGGCCTCTGGTTAGTAAGGTATTCGAGTAGCATTCTTCAGCGCTTTCTCTTACCGTCTGTCATCATGATCTATGCTATTGTTAGCGATTGAATTTGTCAAGGGGTAACTTGAAGAACAACGTACGACCAGTGGCGCATCGAGTACGTCTGACAACCACTTCGTCAATTGGAAAGGAATAGCATGTCCGACGTGCATGCTGTCGGAACTCGGTCCACGGCCTTAATATGCCCTTGTTAGCCATCCTCCTGGCCTATACTGCTTTCCATATTGTCCTCCAGTCTTTGGAATATCTTCGAGGCAACGCACCAGTGTAAATGAAGAAAGGCTGCTTCTTCTCGACACGATCGAGGATGAGGTCGAGGTCGCGGTGGGAGAAGACAATCTGGCGACGGAGGAAGTGGTGAGGTCTATGACCAGTCACGCGCTCGAAGCGCTCGAGGAGGGCATCATCGATCAGCTTCGTTCCGAACTCGTCGACAATTTTCTGTGCAGCAGTCAAAAATTAGCTAGAGCTCTGCATTGACGAGGGGTTTGGAATTCTTACCTTGTAGTCAATGGCCTTGACTTTGCCGTCAGTGCCGACCTACTCCCTGAAGTCAGCATATTCCATTCTCACTTATACGCTGCTTCTTGCAAACCCACTTCTCCAGACACGTTCCAGGGGTCGACTTTCTGGCCGCCCGAGGCTGCGGGCGCGTCGCCGACAGCTACGGCGGGGATGGCGGCGGTCGGGGCTTCGGGTGCGGATGCCATTGTGTCGCGTGGTCTCAGTCGATGGTGTGGAGTGTCGATTGACGAGAACGAGAGGAACCCGAGGTTTTGGCGGCTGGTCAATCGTCTTCTATACGCCTCTTGCGGTGACTCGAATTGCTTGATGACACAGAGCTGTCTGGATAAAAGTTCCGAAAAGCGTGAGTCAATGGCGGGGTGAGGGTGTGCACCTGCCTTTGCGAGTCAAGGTGCGGCTCGATTTCGGTGTGTACCCCGCTACCCCGCAGTCACCGATTCACACCTAACTCATGCACTCGGTGAGCTATCGGTGAGAGCTAATGCAAGTCCCATATCTCGAATGCACAACCCTTGGGATAACGAGAAATCATATTTGTGGGAGGGAAGATGGCGGCTTTTCACATTGAATCAATGTGCTTGAGCTGAAAATTCTAGTTGAGCAGAGATGAAGATGCAAATTCCCACCTGCTACTGCATCTTAACCGGAGTTCCGTTGTGCGAATTGCAACTGTCAGGCGTGTAACCCACACCCGTACATTCATAGACCATCAATCCGCCAGCACTCTTTGAAGTTTTTGGGGTGACGAGCAAAACAAATCACCTCCGCTGGGAAATCTTGCATCCTATCTCTAGACCTCCCAACTGCGATGACTCTCACGTTTGGTACTTGGCCATCACTTTTTGCCGGGTCGTCAATAATGAGCTTGCTCGTCGAGTGGTCGGTATAGAGCTGAGAAAACTCACGAGAAAATGCGCTGAGGCTGATTCCCAGGCTTTTGTCCGAAGTGTGATGGAAACCATCTGGGAATTGATTAGCCCCTGGCGACTGACAACAACTGGGCTCGTCCTATAGCCCAACTTAATTAGCTACCTTACATCGGTATCCAGATTTGTCGCATCTAAGCATTTGGGTCAAGGTTGCTTGGTGCCAATGTGATCTTGAAATCTCGTTCAACCTGCCCCCTTTGGGGTGTTCATAAGTATAAGTGAAATGCGCCACGTTCAGGTTTAGATACGTACAAGATGTACCAGAGTCAGACCATGAGGTTTTGGTGGTTGAATCTGTGAGACTTGCACCTTAATGCGGCGCACCGAGTGATTAGTTGTCCTCTCTCGGCCTTTCACCCGGCACAAGCAACCGTAGCTCGCTGGACTGCGATTTTGGCACAACCAATACGGGACCACGAGAGCCGACTCGGGTCTGCGCTCTTAAGAGATAGACTTGGTTGCAATTTGCCTTTTGGAGAATCTTCTCCAGCTCAGACTTCATGACGTTGGCATCAGCCCGATAGAGACCAACTTCAGGGGTGCTTTGGCTCGCGCCGGTGACAAAAATTGTCGGCTGAGGGTCATCGAGATTGACTGTCGGCGCTTGAATAAGCAAAGGAACGACGAGAAGTCGATTCCTCACAAGCTTGAGTAGATCACCGATAGCCGTGGATGTGCCACATTGCCAGTCGACAGCTATGGAGTTCATCCACTGCTCAACAATGGGATGGACTTGTGCAACTCGCGCTCCGTCAACGTCCTTGACCTTGAAGAAACTGCAATCGAAGCCACTGGTATTGAGGCTATGATCAAATTCCTCCAATGCTTCGTAACCGTAAAGGAGCCAGATAATAAACTCAAGGATTATGCAGCCCATGGACCAGATGTCGTAGCGCCTAGATCTTGCTTTGTCGAGGCGGTTGGTGGCAACTTCGGGTGGCTCGTAGCGGACTGTGCCATACCGCGTGGTGGTTGCATTCATCCGCGATGCTGTGGCATAAATGTGCCGCTTCGCAAGGCCCATGTCTGCAATTTTGAGAATTCCGACAAAAGTTTTGTCCCTGAATCGAAGAATGTTCTCCGGTTTTAAATCTCCATGACGGTAATTACCTCCCCCCTCGTAGTTGTGCAATGCATCTAAAGCATCGGCAAGTCCGTAGATTTGCGTAATTATCTGCTTTACAAGATCTGGTGTTAGCAAATGGTTGCGTTCTTTTCTCCAGAACTCCCGGAGATTGCCGCCATCAGCCCATTCAAACATCAGGTATCGTTGTTCGGCACGAGTGATAGCCGCAATCCTTTGAATAATATGATTGTGCCGGAGGTCTGTGATCTCGGACAGGACGTCCCGTTCGTGGTCGTAATTTTTCTCGCTCTCGTGGCTCGACTGGCCATTGACGAGGATCTCTTTGATGGCGACATGGGCCGAAAGTCCGTCTACCTGATTGTTGTGTCAATCTTTGGTCCACGAGTACATCCATTCAAAGCAGGTTCTTACTGTTAACACTGGCTGTTCGTGATGTCTGGGATGAATTTCTACTTCATATATCTGGCTGAACATCCCACCCTTGACGATATTGTTGACCCAGGTAAACGGGAAAATGCAATCAGGGGATAAGTGATATTGAAACCTGGCGGCTGAAAAGACAGGTGCCAAGAAACACCATTGTTGGCTGAAAAAGTTGGTGACCCCCGAGACGTTCCAAATTCTGCGCAAGCGTTTTTCTTTCGCCATACCATCAAACGGAAAGGGGAAATTCCACCCCAATTGATCCCTTCGAGGCGGTTGGGGCTTTTTTATTGGTAGGTGGCGGTCGTTGAATCCCACAGTCTTGAAGAACTTCATAGTTGTACGAAGATCCGTTCCGCTAATTCCACAGCAGACAGTGATTGCAAAAGTTTTCTTCGCCTGATCTTCGACAAAGTTGACTAGATCCGTCTCTGGAAAGTGTGAGATCTTCTCGTCGTCGTCTTGAAGCTCGGCGGCAATAGACCATCTGGTGATAAGGCTCTCAATGGTCCCTTCTGGCAGGAATGCTGGCCTCCGATGGTCGAACTTGCTGACCACGAATTCCTGCAAAAGTTGATCCCCCAAGGAAATGAAGGCATCTCTTTCGCTTGATTGCCATTTTGCAGTTTCCGTCTGACTATCGAGTCCCGTTGAGACATCAAACTTGGGATCTGTTACCCATGAATCGTCTGATGATGTCGCTCCATGCTTGACGTGCTGTCCGTCATTGTGCTGGCTTTCTGTTGCCTGCGAGGCGGAAGGCTCAATATCCGATGCTACCAAAACGGACCCTTCTTCCAGCTCAATGCCGAAATCGTTATTTGACTGATCCTCCGGTGCTATTGAGGCGCGAGGTCCAGGATCCGATATCGGCCAATCTCCGCTTATAGGTGTCTCGCCCTGCATCAACCGGAATGTACTTGTCACGCTTCCCGGCTTCAGCGTCTCCGGAGAAATACCGCTATCAAATTCGATCTGGTCAACAAGCGGGGTTTTACCACCAAAGTCAAATCGGATAGTTATTAGAGCAAGGCGTAGTAGGTGCTCTGCTATGTGACTGCATAGGGCCTTGTTCAACTTGATGTGTATCGGCGCTGCAAGGCCTCGGTTTTGGTCAAGGTTGGTTTGAACCTCCTTCTTTGGCGAAGAATCAGGATCAGGAGAAAACTTGACGGTTGGTTGTGTTTTCGTGACTCCGGCCGCAGTCGCAGCGTCTAGTGAGTCACTGGAATCTTCCAGTGTTGCCTCCGGCAACCCTTTCTCGCCGTCTCGATCAAAATGTTTGTAACAGAACGGGCAGACGAATGTCAGGAAGTCCACCGGGATGCCTTGGTCGTTTTTTCCAGGTACGTGATTCATGGTCCCCATATAATGACTCGTTTTAAAATGATCTTCTAAGCTTCCGAGTGTTTGAAAGCACAATCTGTCAGTGCTGTTACAATCAGCATGAGAACATCTCCAGATCGGCGAATCGGGCAGGCACATTGCCCAGTCATCGCCATGCTCATGTGTCATATGTTTCGACCACTCTCCTGAGCTGGAAAATGTCCGCGGGCCGAGACAAGACTCAAAAAGGCAGACGTAAGGCATGAGATCCTTATAAATGTGATCCCTGTGGCACAGTCAGCGTTCGCTCGCGAATTGGATTAAAGACATTCACCTCCACCAGCTCTTGTCATTGTATTCCTCAGTAGAATGAAGCTTGCGACAATACCAACATATGTTTCCATCATCATGATTCGGTGGGGATGGCAGTACGACTTTGCTTGTCACCACAGTAGGCGCGCCGCTGCCTTTCATGCGTCTCATGCCAGTATGCCGTTTAGATCGCGTGTTTGAACCTAGGGACTGCATTGTGGTAGCTTCGGTATCGACAGTTCCCTCTGGCATACTTTGCGTCTTCGGCGGGAAGATACGTTTCTCATCCGCTGGGAGCTGATCATCGTCGAGCTGAGATGTCGACCTTGGCCTGAGAGACACACTATGAGCGACTAGCTCATCGTTGTGTTCCCGATTTGTAGCGATCTTCTTTGCATGAGACTCCCAATACCGCAGACGACCATGTATGTGAACCATATGACTGCAGAGCTTCTGTCGCAGGCCGGAAGCAGCTTCCGGGTACAGTCTCTCGACGACGTGGGAAGCAAGCAACTCGAAGTCATTCATCAGGGAAGCCTTTCTGTCCATGAAATTTCTGACTTTTATGTCTAGGCGTGAGGAAACAGGCCGCCGTATTGAAATTCCAAGCGTATTTAGTTGCGCTATAGCTTCTTCAGCACCAACTAAAGGTTTGTCGATCTCATCCATTTCGTCCGATGAGTCGCTTGCGGCGCAGTCGATTGGTTCTGAGTATGGTTGGATCACTGCTAACCGTAAATAACAGGCCTAAACGATTTTTACCGACACAAAACGCTCACTTGAAAGAAGATTCGCTCTCAACATGTCTAGTGCGAGGATGAAGAGTTCTTGGTAGTGATCATTGCGGCGTAGTCTCCAGTCGAGGCTCGCCTTGCCAACAGCGAAGACACCCACATACTTTGCCCACTTCCAGAAGAGACGTTGGTATTCCTCTAGAAGTTGTCGATCAATGACTGATGTAACCAAGCTCTTGTTCTTGAGAAGTTCCTCAAAATGATAGCCACACCTAGAGGCAAGAGCAAAGACTGGCTCCTCAATAGCTGTGTCTACGTTGCAGGTCACGAGTGACCCCTGACCACTTCGTGTGTCTGTATGTGTGGCTTCCATTCTACAGAGATTAGGAACCAAGCAACAAGGAAAAGAAATGAGACGGGCTTAAAGTGGCCACGTTGGGTAGAACCTTGAGTCCATGCACCTCACGAGCAACGCTGGATGCCAGGTAAGCCTTGGAATGGAGTGCGGGGGTGAGCTGACGTGAAGTCCTACATGTTGGGCACCCGTCTTTCTAACCATTTTTCTTGGCCAATAGCTTGCCAGATGTTCTTTTGCGTGTAATTGAATATCAATTGATGCATTTTTCAATACGGAATATGTATGTACTGTTCTCCTCGACTTCGGAGCATGTAATTACGTACTTCTGGCAGACAGCTTTACAAGGCAAGGTCCGGAATTGAGATGTCCTTTGGAGTCACTTCAAGCGATTCAGAGCAAGGTAGAGTGAGGTCCACAAGCATCCAGCCACGGATGAAGCGATAACATCAGTACACATGTATTGATCGGTTCTGCGAAGGCTTCCATATCAAAACTTCGAAATAAATGTTAAGGTTTCAAATTTCCAAACAGTACTCCGACAATGGTAATGGTTTGATCAACATTGCGCACACCTTTCTCTACTATCCATGACGTATTTCTGCGCCACTGAATTCATTGAACTCACTGTCTAGTTTTGCAAAGGTATCGTCGAGGCCCCGGGGATTTGTTGTCCAGTAGTCTGGGCGCCAAAAGTTCCACGGCGCTACATATGGGCGTGGTTGGCGTGCGTCGGGCTCAGCCATGAGCCGAAATAGAACTCGCATGCCGTGCATGGTCTTGAGAGCGGCTTTGGATCTAATATGAAGTCGTGATGCCGTTACCTTCGATGTGAAGTGAATGATACTTGCAGCTAGGCCTGCAGCTATCGCTGTCGCGAATGATGTCCCCTCCTTGTACGTAAAATCCTCTTTCTTGTCATCATAAAGCTCAATACCTGCTCCTAACGTCATGATGTTATTGTCTGCATCGCCATGATGAGGATTGAGACCGCATTTGACGCCTAAGCCATCTGACGCATGAACGCAGAACACCGAAGGTACTGTCGATGGAAAAGCACGCGACCGGTTTCTGCCCTCATTTGAGGCAGCCGCGAAGAGTAGGCGGGGGCGTGCCAGGTCAATTGCAGCTTCAATATCGGCTTTTACTTTCCTCCATTCAGACATGCTGTCCATGGATGACGGAAGTTGCAGACCAAATGACATGGAAATAATGTCGACATCCCAGTCATTTACTGCATATCTGATTGCCTTGCAAACGTTAGTGATGTGGTTTAGACTTGTATTCGCTGAGCAAGTTACCTCGGAAATTTTGCCAGCTTGTTTCAAGTCGAATTCGTTGCGACTGAACACCTTCGCCACATAAATCTCGGCTTCAGGGGCGATCCTCCGGAGCAGTGAAGCACAGTGTGTACCGTGTCCGTCATAATCACGGACGTCACGGATGTCATTGGAATCACCAGAAAAGTTGATGCACCATTCGCTCTTCATGTGCACGCCATCGAAGTCGATACCCACAGACCGGTTCACTCCAGTGTCGAGAATGGCAATCCGAGCCTTTGGACCTATTTCGCCTTCGTCATGCTTCGACAGAGACTTGACCAAGTCTCGAAATGAGCCCCTAAAACACGCAACACGGTCGAAAAAGCTGGCTGCCGACTGAACTAAGCTATAGTGGCATCTCGTAAGATAACGTTCAATAAGGTTGAGAGTGACCTTGAATACACACCTAGATGTTTCAGAGACTTCTGAACTGCCATCGAACAAAGCAACCACGGAAGCTGAACGGGCGACTCGTTCCGTTAGCAAGCTGGGCGCCGAGGCTTGTTGAGCTTGGTTGCGGGCAACCATCATGCTACTCATAGTCGGAATAGTGGTTTCTGCACAGCTATGTTGTAATAGCCCAGAAATAATCTGGTCGCGAACGATGCTTTCCACTATTGACCACGCATCAACCTGTGCATCTTTGCCCCTCTTCATTTGACTGACTTGGGCCCGATACGAAAGAGGTAGGCGAAGACACCTATCCGCGGCATCAACATAAGGCAGCATGTCGAGAATATCGATGTCCTTGATAAGACCCCCATATTTCCCGGCTTTCATTGCGCGCACTTCGCTGTAGAGCTCTTCCCAGACATGTTCATCGTTCCCTTCGCTGGCCATGTCTTGGTCAGCCAAGCGATTACCGAACCCAATTTCCAACAAGATCCTTGCCATCTCTGTGAAAGCCCGTGATGGAGGAGGTCGTGAGTTTTCAAGGATTTTCTCAGGATCTAGGAGATCGATACATGAATCTTTAGTCTCAGTCTGAACGCAGGACGCGTAGATGAGCTTGTTGATGGATTGATCTTCATCCTGATTAGAGAGAAAGAAGACCTGTTGTGAGTCCCAAGTAGCAATTGTGGACCCATATCGTCGACACATCACAATGCCAAAGAGGATTTGAATAGCCAGTAATTTCTTCTCCTGCATGCTGACAATACGAAGACCCTCCAGCGATCGGGAATGTCCCCAACGAGGTCTTGAGCTAAGGGTCCCAGCATCAAGCAGGTGGCGCAAGGTTACGAACGAATTCCGCTGACCGCGTTTTCGTTCCACAAAGTCGTAGGGTGGGATCGCAAAGTCGTCCTCTGAAATATGGGGTAGTCGATCCCACATGTGAAATCGCAGACCACTGGCGTAATACGATGCATTGTTAATGACACCGCAAATTGACGGTTCTAAATTTGGAGGTAAACGATTATCTTCGCGGCTGCTCATTTGTTATTCAGTGAAGGCTAGCAGTATAAACGATTGGAAGTTTTAACTGACCTGACGCGCATGACTTGGACTTCCTGCCATTGGGTTGAACCTTCGCAAGGGGTGAGGAACAGGTCTAAGGCAATGTCGCTAGAGGGACTTAAATCTGATGTTATGGTTTCGATTGTTGGTAGCTGCACTAGCATCCCATGGTCATTCAATTTCTGGTGGCCACATATTGAGAACCTTGAGAATATTGCCTTGATCGCAGCTTCTTCTTGAGTTTGATACTGGGAGATAGGACTGCCTCTGGACAGCTCCTCTGCAATTAGCCCTTTTTTAGTCTCTGATGTTTCAACGATGAAACCTGGGTCGATGTAAGATCCTGGGAGCTGATCCAAGAACCTATTGAAATCTTTCACAATTTGTATTCCCCTGGTCCGGTGGGACCTTGGAGGATACCTAAACAATGCTGGCGTAGAGTCGGGCCCGGAAAAAAGTTGAAAATGATCCATGTCGGATGTCTCCAACTGCCCTATGAGAAATTCCAGGTTGGCGTATTTCGCAGCAGAGTCCGTCTGTGGTAACTCAGCTATGAAGAGGGAAAGCCTATCTAGCAGCCAGCACATATCTTCAAGGAGGTTGATAGCTTGGAAGATACTGTCCTCATCTTCGAGCAAGTCCAAGTCAAGTATGCGATCAATGTTATCTGGTTGCTTGAGAGCTTTTCTAAGTTGGAAATCCATGACCCGATGGTCATTCCGGCGGTTGGAGGGTCCGGCTGAAAACTCAAGCCGAGGGCCATCGATGCAATCGCTGCAAAGGTCACTGAGATTACTGATTAGGTTGAACTCGATGCAATCGGCGAAGAAGAGCTCCGTCTGGGTTGACTGTGGAAGATTGGACATGGCGAGGAGTTGGTGATGTCGGAAGAGAAGTGGCGACGTTCTGAAAGTGTCAGTTTCTGATCTCGTTCGACAAGAGCACTGGTAGAGGGAGAATGAGCGTTGGAGACGTACAATAAGCCTAGAGCGCTGAGAAATTCTGAAATGAGGCTGAATACACGAGGGTACTTGAAGAAATAGGTTGCCTCAACAGTTCTGTATCCGGTAACTACCTACCAAAGGTAGGCTTCAGGATAGCCGCTATGCGTAGAGGAAATTGAGTTACCGGCTACTTAAGGAAGGGATCAGCTCTGAGGGAGTGACAGATTAGCTGTCAACAACTAAGGTAGCCATGGTCATGAGAATAAACTAAGGTAGAAAGCAGTGTTCGACGATTCGAACGGTTCAGTGAGGGGAAAGAAGAGTGACTGGTCACGAGGCCAGATACCGCCTCCCAGCGACCAAGCTGTATAATTGGTCTTACGAATGTTCATGCACGTCAGATGCATGTGATACGTTCAAGCGTATATGTACTCGTAATTTGTCAACCGCCTCTGCATCCCCGCCCTATTATGCCCGGCTAGGAACGTCGTTGGTGCCCATTTCAGCCCAAGGTCAGGATTCCGGGCCAAATGGAGACCGTCGAAGCAGGTCAGTAGTTGCAACATGGATAGGTGGTGTACAGTATGAGTACTTAAACCACCTGAGTTCACGGTCCTCGAGTCGAGGCTTCCGTCCCATTGACAGTTCTCTAAGATACATGGGCTATGTCTCAGCACCGCATCATTCCTTCCCTGAGTACAACCGAGGCCAATTAGCATTAAATTATCAACATACCACCCGCATTCCCGAACCGAGTCGGTGAGCATGCCTGTATATCACGTTTGTCCCGACTTCCGCCATCCCCCACCTCCAAATGGATTCCTTACGCTCGGTACAATCCTAAAAGGACTTGATGAAGAGGGCGTGCAATTCCCCCTAAACGCCCGAAGGGTGGAATCGATCGACGAAGATGCAATTTATCCAAAAAACGGGCCGCATAGACAACGTGGCTTCACACGCAGTGAAAGTGAGCTCCGATCGGTTGAAGCAGGGATTTGGGCAAAAATATTCGGTTTGGGTGGCTTATCTGCGAAGTTCAGCCGCTCTCGCGGTACTGGAAGGTTCTTGACCGTGAAGGAGTTGCTCACGCGGACCTTCGCGCCGGATGAGGAATACATGGCTAAATCCCTTGGAATACCAAAGGTCAGAGCCTATGTCACCGCCAGAAGGCTGGAAGTACCAGTTTACATGATCACTGGCCTTATGGTTGCAACTGGGGCAAGCTGGTCTTCAAAGTCGAATACAGTCGGAGAAGACGGTGCAGAAGCAGGTCTGACAGAGCCGAATACTGCAACGTCGGCTGGCGGAAATGTCAGAAAGGAAACCCGCCTGAGCCGCGAGGCCGGAGTTGAAGACTCTGATGACTTCGTTCTAGGTCTTCGAGTACGTAAGATTTGGTGGGAAAAGGGCATTCGTCAGACATCAGACAGTGTGGCTGGACGAGTTTTGGATTCGGGCGGACCAAGGTCAAGCCTTAGTGATGATGCAAGTGGTTTGCGTTTCATTGACGACTTCGAGCTCGATGAGCCGGAAGGTGGTGATGATGAGAGAATATTCATTGATGTGCATTCCTCGACCGAAGGTAACCAAACAGTCTGGGTCCTTCCCTGAAGATCGATTCTCTCAGTAGTCTATGATTACAAAGGTTTTGAAAGGTCTATTGTTGAGAACGATGGCGAATCGCTTCTAAGGCAGATCGGGTCTGGTGAGGGAATCCCTCTTACGTATTCTTACATTTCGCAGGGCATGTATAACTCCGTGGGTTGGAGCTAATGGACGCGAAGGATGACGGAGAAGCATCTGCATGTCGCCTCCTCTGGAGAAGTACTTTCATCTTATATCTAGCAGTCCAGCCCTTCGAGAGCTAGCTTATCGGAATCTATGCGAATTACCAGCCGCATACACACATTCTCCAGATCAATCATTTTTCTGGGAAGTTCTTACATCGTATCAAAACCTGTCATGTCTCAACGCGAGATACCAACTCACCTCATTACGTTAAATGGTGATGATGAATCCATTGATGGGCCCCTATGTCTCAGGACATCTCTGCCAGAGATATCGACCCTGCAAAGCTTACCTCCTTACTACGAGACAGGTATGGAAGCGGGTCATACAATGTTCACGTTGGTCGTGATTGGATGTAACCTCTCGAGACCACTCACTAACAGAACTCATTGGGGCCAGTTGATGCACAATATGTACATGATACGAGCTCCGCGACGACGTTCGGTAGTGAGCAGTTTTCCGATTCTGATGTCATGGTCGAATTCTGAACTACGTAGACCAAAATAGCTCATTGTTCCTGAACTATAATATGAAGAGAGGCAACAACGACATTCACTGTTCTTCACAATCCCCCAAATCTATGTTCATTCTTCCAAGAAAGTGGTTTTCTTCTCGAAAATGGCCGTCATTGTCAAGGAATCGATAACCTAAGGGTCAATATATGTATCTGTAGCAGTGTTTCTCGATCTCACGTTAGAATTTCAAACATACGTAGTCCGTCACCACAAATACGTTGTGAAGGATATTTCTCTTGCTGGAAGCCTGGCCAAAACCGGACCATTCTCAATCTCAGAGTCTATATCTGCATATAGATAGGAGATTCAACGAGACAAGGAACATCATGTTCACAACGTAAGGCTGTTGCACCTGATTAAGTGACCAGTACCATTGAGGAAGGAGCCCGATCGTATTGATACAGTGACCGGCCGCCGCAAAGTCAATGCGGGTTTGACTGGTGAAGGGTTGTCCACTGACTAATTACTATAGCGTCCGTCGATGACACCTTCACTGTGTAACTTGTTTATTCTGCGGAAACATTGAAAATCAAAATGTCGTAATGGATGTATCCTTACAAAAGGAACCAGATTAGTCCCTGCCGTTGAGTCATGGGTTTGTCTTATCAGCCATTAGTTTGAGCTCAGCTAGCTGCAGAAGAAGACGATTCTGGTTGTCATCAAAATATCTCATAGCGTGGCTTGCCAAAATGCTCTAAAATCTGTCTTCTAAAGAGCTGAACGTGACATTATTGAATTTATATGACTGCGTTAGATCAATTCATTTTCTTCCATGCGCATGTAGGGAAAAGAGCTGCTGCCATATGATCGAAGACGAAAGAAACGCCGTCAAACCAGGTATTGTTGTTGAAGAGTGCATCAACCCGCAGGCCCCCACAAGCAGCCCATCCAGCCACTTCTCAGGCTGGAAGATGGTCTACGAAAAATCTTCGCAATAACAATTTGAAAATAACTTAAAGGTTTGACTAATAAGAAAAAAATCGCAATTATGGAAAACTAATACTAAATTTCAAAAGTTAAGAAAGATAAGTACTGATTTATAGGTTTAGAATAGAGAGCGAAAATAAGGCTCTAGGTTTCATAGATTTAATAGAAACAGAATTAATTGAACACAGTGCGGCACTACTTCAGTAGTGGCTCCTCGCTGAAGGATCACGCTAAATCTACGATCCCCACAACGTATGCTTCGTTCTCTCAAGTGCTGCCTAGGCATCTGTCTCCTCTTTCAATACCTGGCATCTCACAAGGCAGCATAACAAACTGCCCGAGCGCGCATCGGTCGTATCAATCATAGCAGAATTATACATCATGAAATCAAAGGAAGTCAGTGAGGCAGGCCCAATCATGGTAAGTGGCATTGACTCACGCGGCTACGATCGACGTCATCGTGTGCCCGACTGGGCGCAGCTAAGCAGTAAATTTCAGTTGCCCGGCTTCGGTCTTCCCCTAAATCACACGCCCGAAGACCATTTTCCCGATGCTGTGAGCGATTGGGAACAGCGGTGGCCGCACACAAATCGTGAGCGATGCATGATAGCTTTCATTCAAGAATTCACACTCGAGGAGGATTGGAACCAGAAAGTTTTCCAAGAGGCGGCCCTTGCAACTTGGAAGGATAATCTTATGGGAAGGGATTGGCACAGAGCTGGCGAAATTCGACATGGCGACTTCACCGATGCAATGTTTGAATATGTAAGAATTGCCAAGAATATGCTAGACATGGTGACTGACCTGTTGCTCAGTGTATAGACGAACTCCAGGAAAAAGCGAGGCTATACAACGAGACGGGAGTTGTTCCGGTTCTTGACGTACAAGTGCGCATTGCCCGATCAGACAGGGTCATTTCATCAGACATGAAGAGCACTTTCCAAGAGGCCGTTGGCAACATTGAACGAACCCTTTCTCGCAAAACCGACAGGGGCTCAGGCAAGAAAAATAGCCTCGCAGAAGCTAACGGCTCTACATGCAAGAAACAGGACAACGTGATCAACGTAATTGACCCAACAATGTACCCGCTCGTTTTTGGTCGCTCTCGGGTGCTACCCACCCACGAAATCGATCTTCATAACTGTCTTAGCCATATCTCCCAGGGAATCACAATAAAAATACCGGGCCAGAAAGAGACACAGAAGTATGTTGACGGCATCTATCATACGTTGTTCTCAAGTCAGTCTCAGTGGCTTCCCTGCAATATTGAGTTCCCGGACGGCATCAACGCAAAGATCACTAGCTACATCAACAATCTACACCCCAGGGAACACAGAGCCGTCTACTCTGTTTTGGAAAACATCATCACGCAAATAATGCCCATGTGGAATATGGTGTACTCCTCTGTCTACGACCACACCATGCGCTGCGACTTGCGCATCGATTGTACTGAAGCAGGTTGGAAATACCCCAATACACCTCCCTACGACCCGCTCAATATCAGGGATGACTTGATGAACGGTGTCATTGATAATGATGAGTGGCAACGAAGGACAGATGAGTGGCTTCGTGATTTTAGGGTTGTTGACAGACCTGAGCCACAGGTGAAGGAAGATCGAGCTTTCCACCGATCAAGTCATGAACATAACAACTCTGTTACACCTCAGGGGATTGCGAACTTTACTGGCATGTTAAGCAAGGCGGGCGGCATTCAGATCGTTGTCAAGATTAGAGCAATGTACCCGACTCCTGAGGACCCTATCTGCGATTTGCAGAATGAGTTTGGTCTAGACGGCGCACTGAACGAGCACATCGTGGCTACTGCAGTCTACTTTTTCGAAGATGAGAATGTTACAGACTCGGATGTATCCTTTCAGACGCGATTTCAGGGTTTGAACTTTGAGGAAGACTGCACCTTTGTGGTAGGAGATCTGAGGCCCCTCGATGAGATCTTTGGGCTCAGGCATAAGACTCCGTCGCTGCAGAAGATTGGATCCGCAACAATGCGGGAGGGTTTGGTATTGGTATATCCCAACGTTATGCAACAGAAGGAGTCTGCCTTCCAGCTGAAAGATCCGACTCAGCCAGGGCACAGGAAAGTTTTGACTCTTTACTTGGTTGACCCACGAGTTAAAATTCTGTCGACAGCGAATGTGCCTCCGCAACAAGCTGATTGGTGGGCTGCAGAGTTCACATCGAGGGAGGGACAAATGAAGGGCCTACCGAAGGAGGTAGTCGAAATGGTGGTTGAGAATGTTACAGACTTTCCGATTCCTAAACAAGAAGCGAGAAATATGAGAGACGAGTTGCTTCTTGAAAGGTCAACCCTGGAGAGCAGTATTCGCGGCATTCTTGGTTCCTATAGAATCGATCTCAATTGGGGCGATAGCGATGTGGACTATGAGGATAGTTCTGGGGGAGAAGATTGACCAGCTTTTTTGCACTCCAGCATCATTCCTATCGCTAGATCCTGGGATTTCCATCCCGCTAGAGACAATGCAACTAGTGTACCTTATCCAAACCAAGCTACAGTACTGGTGAAAGGCGCAGTAACTACTCAAGGGACACCAGGAATTCCATGTAGGTAGGCAGGAGTGGCATGCCGTATAATAACTACAACAAGCGGCGGGGATATGCCATACGAGAACTACACAACACCCAGAGTCCAGGGGAGCAGGTTCCTGCTTGCGAAGATGCAGTCCATGATGGCCACAAAGTTCTGCCCCAAGTCCTAGAGTGGCACACCTATCTACGAAACTCATCGCGCAGAGCGGACACGATATCCTGTGCTGTACTGGACCTAGTTGACCAGTACATGCTTGTTGAAGACCCGAAAAGGCGATTTCCGTCCACAGCACTCTGCAAAGAACTGGACCGGATTGTTTCTGAGGCAGAGAGCACATATCGGTTAGAAGTAGAGCGCGGAACGTTGAAGAAGGAGTCAGAGGAAACACTGAAAGCCCTGTTAAAGCTCGACAATCTTGCTCCATCTATTGCAGCTCCATTCTCACAATTTTCTGCCGACAGCAAGAGGGCCAATGATCCCAAACTCTCTTCACCGACGCCATCTCTGCGTAATCGATCCTCTTCTGCAGTTCGAAGTCATCGCGTTAGGAAGTCTGTGCGATTCGAAAAGATAGTCAGTGGAAAAACTGTTAACCGCGAGGAAGTGATCAAGACCGGTCTGGGAATATCATCGTTAGCCGAGGAACCAGAAGATATCGACAGCTCATCTCAAGGACCCGGCCCGCCACTGCCAGGGGTGTCCATCCGACCGCCAACGCCGGAGGACTCCAACTTCAACCCTTCTCCTGAACCAGAAGATCCAGTTGATATAGAGGGTGGCGCGACGTCGTCCAAGGCGCCCTCTTGCCATGAGATTGCTATAGTGCAGGAGTATCATAGGCGCTCCCAATCTTGGGCAGAGAACCAAGGTGTCTGGGCTTCCATCGTAAGAAAAGCCCGAGAAGAAGACAGGTACATGTCGCAGTACATTTCGAATAGAGATATAGTAAGACATCTCCACGAATGCCTGTATTTCATTAAAGTTTACTGATGGACGCTCAGATCTTCGTTGTTGACAACGCTGCTACTATGAAAAGTCATTGGGAAGACGTCAAGATAACGGTTCTGACGTTGGCGATGATGATTGGCACTTTGGACAAGAATGGATTGGGCCTAGTATTTACATTGGGATCCGACAACAACGTCTTCGAAGCGAAAGGTAGAAAGATGCCGTCAAAGTTTCCACAGTCTCTCAGCAATGCGTACCAAAACATCGACGACCGTAGTAGAACCGACATGGCGACGACTCTTGCTCGAAGATTCGACGCCTACAAAAACTACAGCAAGATGCAAACACTTCTAATTCTTACCGATGGTCTATGGGAGGGGTCGAATTTGACTGACAATGTCGTGCATCTAATCACCCAGTTCGTCGAAGGGCTGAAGAAGAAAGTGGGAAAGCGCGAGCGTCGATGGTTCAGTATTCAATTCATCTCCTTTGGAAAGAGCAAAGCAGCCCTAGAGCGTCTAAGAAAACTAGACGACGAGCTTAAGACAGTGTGAGTAGTGTCATGTTCTTCTTGGTGTATAGCTGCTGACACCTTTATGCAGAGAAGACGTTGTGGACACGAAACCTTGATATACAGACAATGTTGAATCGCTCATAGTGGGGAGTATTCTTCAAGCAGAAGACGCGGCACAACCCTCAACCTCCGGGCTTCAGCTAGCAGATCATACGCCTTCGTCGTCAAGGACGAATTCCATCAACCAGTCCAAACGCAATCTGAAGAAACGAGTTGCGGGCTTTTGGGGCCCTGATATCGCTTGGCTAGGAGCACCAACAGTCGGTTGTATTATAAGGATGTCTCGGCTTGGGCATGGACTTTCTCTGTTCCGTGGGGTACCCAATAGCGCTGTATGTTGCGTGATCTGCACATAGGTCGTCACTGCTTGGGTGTAGGAGACACCCTTTGTGGAGGGTAGATATGGTGGCGGAAATCTACGTTTACAAGCGAATGAACGCCTGTTCATATTTGATTTCGGTGACACCCTCTCATCAGAGGTTTGTTTTATGGTTGGTCTCCCTACCCTTCTCAAAGCATTGCGGGGCGCAGTGATACCACTCTCGGTACTCGGGAGAAACGAGGACTACCAATATAGTTGACGTTAGAAGAAGTATGTATGTATCTCAATACCTACGTAGGACAGTATATACGCCGCGCGAGTATTGTCAATACGCAGTGGCCACCGTCGGGAAATGCTTCCTTTATGGCTCAATATTACAATTACCTACCTAAAGTGACTTAGGTCAGTACATCTCGACAAAATGAGAAGCAAGCAGAGAAGGTTTTATTCCCAAAGGTCACGAGACCTCCATGTAGCAGCGTTATTCAAGTCATTTCTTCCCTCGTTCTTATATGTTTCGATTGAAGTTCGTTTGTGCCACGGCGAAGTAGGAGGGATGGTATCTTCGAGTAGTGGCTGTGGGCCCAAGTGAGGTGGAAGCAGCCTTAATCGATAACAGTATACTTATTGATACTAAAAAGCATAGAATTTCTTCTTACCCGTTGATCGGGATACGACATGCGAGAAACCCGATTTAGGCTCCGTCGATTCATTCCCGTCATCAGCACTAGCAGACATTACTCCAGGTCAGAGGGTCAGGACAAGCTAAGCGGGCACATCAGTGAATTTGCAGCTAAAAACTAATAGAGCCACAGCCTGCTCGACGATCCACAGAACGGGAACCAAGAGATGTAGCCTCGTTTGGGTGATGGAAACTTGTTTTCCTGTATCTGCCTCCTGGACGTTGACTCCCGTCGCAGATGCTGGCCCTGGACTAGTACCAACAAGATAGAGAAGGTGGGGGCCTGGGGTATTGTGGAGCGGCGCTATGTTAGTCGCAGATAAGGGCGTCTCCGGTCGGCCTCCGGATTACGGTGATTTTCTCACTCCTTCTAAATGTTGACGTATACATGACTTCCAGAGACTTTTTACGTGTACTTTGGTGATGGCCAGGGTTCTCATTAAGCTTCGAAATTCTGACTGAGTCTACAATGTCCGTCCGAGAAGACTTGAGCGGCATCGAGCCTGAAGGTCCACCCGCCGCTGACTTGGCCGGTAGCCGGGTTTGGCGAGCTTGTCTTGCTTGCCGGCGTAAAAAGGTCTGCTTCTTGATACTGAATTATCGCTGCGTTTACGTAGCCTACTTTTGTAATTGCGCGAAGACTGACAAAGTGATGAAGATCAAATGCGATGGAAAACAACCCTGTCACAACTGTAGCTCTCGTGATCAGTCGTGCGAGTTCCCCGGAACAAAAGACAACGCTTCTGCCAGTCGTTAGTAAGACTCGCCTGCCTTCTCTACTGGCACCTTTCTACATGCATGAAGGTCTGATTGGAGAGCAGCTACGTGACGTCTTTTGAAGCACGATGCCAACAGATGGATACACTCTGTCAACGTCTAGAAGTGCTCACTGGGCAGCTATCACAGTCTATCGACGTCCTCAACAAACAGCCACATGCGCCAGCGAGCCAGAATCAGCCTTCTGGTCGTGTCTCCCCAGCTGAGATCATCAATTCTTTCCCAAGACTTGAAGCGTTGTTATCTCAAGCAACTGCATCTCCTCGACAAGAGTCAATAACGAATGCAAACCCGAATGCGTACGCAGGCGTTGCTGAATTGGATGTCAACACAGGCGCAATAGACGATGAAACCGAATTATTTTCACCCGATAACAGCGAGGATTACAATGATGATTCTACTTCTGTAGAAAGTACCTTCAGGTTGACAAAGCCAGCCGCCGAGGAACTCAGCCAAGCAGGTGCCTTGGTACGAGATTCTTATGGCCGCCTACGGTATGTCACTTAAAAACTCTCATATGCAACACACGAGATTTAATATCCAAAACCAGCTTTGTGGGTGGTGCAGCGAGTAATCTTATCGTAGAGGCCGCAAGAAACCTCCTGCCGAAATTGGCGACAACCACGCCATCTTCTACAGGAGCCAGTCACGAAACGCCAAACTTGCCAGACCTCGAGATCCCTTCATTTGTTCGTGGAAAACTCTGGCCTCCTCTTCCGTACATACCTGCACCAGAAAGCCTGCCTCGCCCGCCGCAATATGTCTCTGACCTGCTTGTGAGCCTATACTTCGACAAGCTCCACTACATATTCCCTATTCTCATCAAGCCTCACTTTATGAATCGTTATCAGAAGCTTCTGAGAGCCGGGCCAGACTCTTCTTCACCTAAGAGAGGAAGGTTTCTTATGGTTTTCTTCGCCGTATGTGCGTGTGCGTCAGGGCTATTACCGTCCAACTTGGAGAGCGGGCTACCCGGTATCGACTTTTACCAAAAGGCCCTTCTCATCTTGTCTGCATCAACTGGAGAGTCCTCCATTGAGAAAGTTCAGTGTCTTGGACTTTTGTCGATGTGCTCCGCAGGGTGGAATACTGTGTCTCAAAGTTGGAATTTAGCCGGACAAGCCGTGAGGGCGGCAATCGACATGGGGCTACACATTAGTGGTCACTCCGTAAGACTTCCTTTCCGTTTGTTTATCGATAGCCTGCTGATCGAAAAGAACGCTGTCGTAAATCAGCAGTCACCGCTTCTAATGAAATCTAAGGATTTTCCTCTTCAGGAGCAGTCTCGCAGAGTGTGGTGGTGTGTATACACGCTGGACAGGTACTGTAACTCCAGTATCATTACATCCTAGTAACGCCTGGTCCTTGGCTAATAACCCGTGGCTCCTTGCAGAACGACATCGATTTGCCTTGGCCGTCCTCTCGCGGTCAAAGATGAAGACTGCTACTGTGAGCTACCATTGGACGTACGTGATGAGGATGTAATGTCTGGGATCAAGAGCGGACACGCTGTCGACGTAGAAGCCACAACGAGCTCCATGAGCGGCTTCTTAGCGTTTGCCAAACTCTGCCGGCTTGCAGGCAAGATCCAAGAGTTCAGCTCTCCCCTGAACCTACAGAAGATCGCCTCTGCAGATGCAGAAAGAACTCATAGGTTCTTGGCTCGCGTTGATACTCATGATCAGGCTCTTCGAAAGTGGCTCGAGAGTTTGCCCGGGGAAATCCAATTCTCAGCAAACAGAAAGAATAAGAGCCACGGGGATATATCCATGGTTCATTGTGTGATAACGTTTTTCTTACACGCAGGATCTCTTATCAACTTATACCGGTAGGTTTAATGAGTTCCTGATATGTGATCATGGAACGACATTGTTAATAGACTACAGATACTTCCTGAACTATCCCAAAGACTCCGCAGAACGAGACGAAGTGGACGTCTCGGGAGCCATCGATCAATGCATCAATGCTGCACGAGGCTGTATCTACGTCGCTGATTTGGTTCGAGACTTGGTGCCAGCTTCACACCATCTGGCTATCTGCATCCACTATCTGACGCTGTCGGGTATCATCCTGTAAGTTGGCGCCTACTTGTGATAGCAATTTCTATCACATTGGCCGCAAATGCTCACAAAGTTTCAACTTCAGTCTTCGAGTGCCTATCGATCGCAGCAATCCAGCTCTTTTAGAAGATGCCGAGAAGTGTGCCCGATCGCTCAAAGACCTAGAGCCTCGGTGGTCTGGGGCCAAAAGAAGCCGAGAAATCATTGAGAAATTGCTAGTTCGACGCCGCAGCGAGATTGCTGGAGACTCGCTCACCTATCGTGGTAATGAAGGCCGACATTCAACCGAGAACCCCCTCAGGGCCAACAAAAGACCCTTTGCTGATGTTGAGGTCGCATCGTCCTCTTTGGTTGACGTTGCTAGCGGAATCTGGAATCCTAGCACCACCGACTCCATGCCAGAGACGACGAATTACGATGGCTGTATGGATCCCATGCTTTTTGCTTCGTGGTCAGGATGAATCCACGATAGCTCGTATGGGTATGACTTGAAAGGACTAACCGAAGTAAGCTATGCCACAAGATTGCGCGATCTCGAGCGTGGAGGTTTGGCAGGGAGAGCAGTTCGCTAAGAAGAAGCAGAAGTAAGCACGAAAATCACGAACGTAAGCAATAGTGGGCCGTGCAGCACGGCGCGGCTTCACATGTACTCAGAAGGGCGCTGATTGGTGATATTACAAAGCCATTTCATCATTCTTCATCGTCTTCAATATTGTTATTACAAATATCTACTTGCGTTCTTCAGACATTTGATTCCACAGATACTTGCCAACCGTGGCTTTCGACGCTTTAGCACGTCCGCGAGTTTTATCAGATCGTACAGAACACCTAGACGTCTCACGTCAATTCTCCAGCCATGGCCTTAACCCTCCCCCCAAACGGCCGCCTCGTCAATATCGGCACCCACTCTCTAGCTCTCTACGTCCACGGTCCAGAGCCCAACAGCCCCACCGATCCCGTTGTACTCTTTGTCTCCGGTGTAGCCAGTGATGCCCTCAACTGGCAAGCTGTGATACGGCTTCTCGGCCCCTCTCAGGTGCGGAGCTACACGTATGACCGCTCCGGCAATCGCCACTCAGACCCCTCACCCAACCCACCAACAGCCGAGAACATTGCCCGAGAACTCGCCCTCTTGATCGAACACGCCCCCATACCTAACCCACTCGTTCTCGTGGGCCACTCTTGGGCTGGTGTGCTCACGCACGAGTATTTTGCCCTCAAAGGCACCAAGCAGGTCGCGGGTCTGGTCCTTGTGGATGCGAACCATGAGACGGCGCCGCTCGTGCTAGACGTCAACGATCCTATTCTCTGGACAAAGATCGCCGCAGGAGTCAAGACATACGACGGCTGGGGGTTGACGACGTCGCATAAGCTCACGAAGGAAGAATGGGACGCTTTTATCGCGGAAGAGGCTACAGAGAAGCACAAACTAATTGCGCAGCGAGAGGATTCCGAGGGTTACTCGCAAAGTTTCGAAACGCTGAGGAGCAAGGGCCTGGCAAAGAGGCAGCCGCTTCTTGGGGACAAGCCAGTGTATGTGATTGTGGGCACGCGAAGCAGAGACTGGAGCGGGCTTTACGCTGCGGGTGTCGCGAAGGGGAACGGGACGGAGGAGGAGAGGAAGCATGTGAGAGATATGATTGCGGGCGTTGATGCGAAAACTGAGAAGCTCATGAGGGAGTTTCTGAAGCTCTCTAGAAAGAGTGATACTGTGTTTGCGAAGGAGAGTGGGCATTTCGTGCAGATGACACAGCCAGAGATCGTTGTTGATGGAGTGAGGTGGGTGCTGGATAACCAACCAGCGACTGAGTAAAGAGAGTACCTTTAGTTATCAATGATTCGACTACCTTAAGTCCTTAACTGTAGCCAAACTTGCTCTGAGTTGAGAGTAACTTATCCTCTGAATCGTCGTTTCCCTCCTTTCCGTCGATCTTTTGTTCAACCTCGCTGCTTTGTTTCCCCATAGCCGCTACCAAGTCCTTCAACTTGGCCATTTCCTCTGACATCCAAGCTGTGATGGCGACGATATCGGCTCCGCAGTTTACGAAGTGAAACCCTTGCTCGTACTTCAATGCCGCAGCATCGGCACTAATAGCAAAATGACCGATATATTTCCCAGAATCAAGCCCTGCTTTGAGCACGCGTGCTGACGCCTCCTGAACTTCTGGTATTAAGGCATGGTCAAATGCCACATAACCCATGGATGAAGCAAGATCGTTGGGTCCGATGAATAACATGTCGATGCCGTCAACAGTCGCGATTCCTTCCACGTTCTCTACGGCCTTTCGGCTCTCTATCTGTACGCAAACCATAACGTTGTCGTTGGCGGTAAGAAGGTACTCTCGGCCGGTTTGGTTGAAAGCTGCGGGGGCAAACATAGCTCCCGCGCCTCGAAGACCTTGTGGCCAGCGCGAGGAGGGATACTTGCAAGCGCGAACGATGGCTTCAGCTTGCTCCTGATTGATATGACATCAGTTCAAGGCGGTTTCTTGGCGGAATATGGCAAAGACTTGCCTTGGTCTCGCACATTGGAACCATGATGGCATGCGCTCCACAATCCAAAGCTCTCTTTATCATCCAATGTTCTGAAGCTGGTATCCGCACGATTGGAGACGCCCCCGAAGATGAGATCGCACCGACTTGGAGATACATCTGGCTGTCATCGATGTTCCCGTGCTCCGTGTCTATGAGAACCCACTGTATTGTAAGCTTCAGTCAGCATGCGAGGTCCATGGCAGAGCCAGGCTATTCACTCACATCCTCACCCAAAGGCGCCACTGTCCTCGCCAAGGAGTAGCCTGGAAACTCTAGCCATTGGCCAACACTGGGCCCTTGACGTCTCTTCGCGCGCTCTAATGATTCGCGTAGCCTTGTCTTTCCTGATGCATCCACGATGGGGGACTGGATTTGGTTGGCCATTGTGTGGTCTCTTTCGAGCCTTGCTCGAAATCGGCGTTGTAAGACTTTGTGCGACTCTACTGCTTCGTGATAGACAAGATAGTTCAATAAACCTAAAGGGATACATACATGTAAGTTGATCTCTAATCATCATGTTTACAATCTTACAGGCGATCGTAGTCCCCTGGACCGATCATAATCAACGAGCCCATGTAAGCTCGGCCGGATCCCGGACCGTGGTCTGCTCGTAATCGGAAGAGCTTCGCCTAGCAGATACCTAGCTCTTTACAACGCGGCCACTCTTATCGAAGAATAGCTGTTGCGACCAGGAATGTGGCCTGGTCGTTATCTCCGGTATCGCGGCGACCGCACTAAGGTACCTTAGCTGGAGTTGCCCGGAAGAGATCCGGCCGAAATATCTTAAAATGGAACCAGGGGCTCAAAGGACCAGTGGTCGACTTGATAACACATGCAGACTGTAGAACCAAGATCAATTGAACGCTCTTGAATACAGTCATGAATATAAACAATGACTTTCTCTCCGTAGTTGAGTGGACCCCTGAATTGATCTTGAAGTGGGAATCTGAACAGGGTTGTTCACGAAACTTCACATCCGGTTATCCTTAGCCGCCGCACTTCGACCAACTTCCGTTACCAAGATGGCTTCCGCAGCCGATACCAAAAAGCTTCATGAAGTCGACGAGACCAGTAAGCCAGACGAAATTCTCGAAGGTACCATCGAAGATGCGACCGAATACTCCGACCGTTACTTCCGAAAACTTCGGTTCAAGATCGACCTATGGCTCCTCCCATTGATGTGGGTGTGCTATGGCACGCAGCAAGCGGACAAGACATCTCTCAGCGTCCAAGCTGTTTTCGGTCTGCGAGAAGATACCGGTCTCGTGGGCGAACAATTCAACTGGCTGAGCACGATTTTCTACCTCTCCTATCTCGTCTGCGAGTTCCCAGGAAACTGGTTGATACAGAAGAGTCATACCGGCAAGTTCCTGTCGGTTGTGATGGTACTGTGGGGTGTCGTTGTTCTGTGCATCGCCTTTGCTAAGAACTTTGCGCACCTCATGATCCTTCGAACGCTGCAGGGCGCTCTTGAGTGCACGATCTCTCCGACCTTCATGCTCATTACCGGAGCATGGTATACTTCTCAGGAGCACACCCTGAGGTCTCTGATTTGGGGCACATCCAACGCCGGAATGAACATCATCACCGGGCTATGCATGTATGGAATCGGATTGCACGCTCAGAAAGACCCGGGTGGTTTGGCTGCAGTAAGTTAAGCCCAGATCCTGCTCACGATCGATCCTTGGCTAACGGACATTCTTAGTGGAAGGGAATTTCTTTATTCCTCGGCGGCCTGACCATCGCGTGTGGAATCCTCGTCTGGTTTATCCTCGGTACGCCCCGCGAAGTCCGATGGCTCAATGAAGAAGAGAAGAAAGCCGCGATGGCCCGCGTCATCGTCAACCAGACAGGTTCTGATCGTCAAAAGAGATCCGAGTTCAAATGGGACCAAGTGTGGTTGACATTCAGGGGTAAGAATTGCCTGCAAATACCTTCAACGACGAGCGAAACCTGACACTTGCGTTTGCAGATCCTCAAACGTACTTCTTCTTCTTCGTTACCATCATCAATGCCTTACCGAACGGAGCGAACACGACCTTTTCGAAACTGATCTGGAAGTCATTTGGGTTCACCCCGCTGGAGACGTTGCTGAAGGGCTCCACTCCTTACTACTGCGTGAGCATTGTCTGGTTTCTAGTAGTTGGATTCGTCACGTTGAAGAAGCCAAATCTCAGATGTAAGTTTGTCAAAACGAGAATTTGAATCCTGCACCAACTGACCACTGGACTCTTTAGTCTTGATGATGATGTTTTCTCTCGTACCAGCTTTCAGTGGCATGATGGCTCTGGCATTTCTTCCCACGGATTCTATGAAATGGACAAGATGGGGAATGTACATCCTGCAGGTCTTTGGTTCCTTGCCAGGTCTCAGTAAGTTTTCCTGCTGTTCACTAATATTGTGTCTATCCCTCGTCAATGCCGAGTACTAACACGATCTAGTGATCTGGACCTTCTTGCCCTCAAACGTTGCGGGGAGGACGAAGAAGACTGTTACATCTACAGTCCTGTTCGTCGCCTATTGTGTTGGTAACGCGGTGGGCGCCCAAATGTTTGTGGCGTCTGACGCTCCAAAGTACATTCGTGGTCTCACTGCTTGTGCTGTTCTCTACTGCGTTGAGTTCTGCAGCATGGCTACCTGGCGTTTCTATTGTAAGTGTCTGTCCGATGCTGCTGTCAATCGGTTCGAAACTGAAAGCTGACTTTTATTCAAGACATCTGGGAGAACAAGAGGCGGGACAGGCTTGTTCGCGAGCAAGGGATTTCCAAAGGGGAGAGTGAGCGTCTTGGAAAGTTGAATGCCGAGGCAGATATGACGGACAGAGAGAACATTCACTTCAGATACAAGTATTAGCCAGCCTTTTCAAGTATCAAGCAGCCTTGGGATCTATGGCTTGCTCCATGACGCGATTTTGATAGGGTAATTTCAGTATACGATCGATCTATAGAAAGTTATGGTTCAGACGGGGTTGAGCCAGTTGTACGGTCAATGCAAGATTTGGTTTCCTCGCTTTCTTCTCCGCGCAAGTTCACGCGGACCTTCCTCGCAGTGTCTTCCATCTCACCCATGGTGGTGGTGCGACTTAAAACACCACCAACATCACGCCCATGCCTAATGGCGGCCAAGGAGCTGCTCTTCCACAATGGTACGTTGCCTCGACTATTGGAGTTACCGAGTGTTGTGAACAGAAACGCGATCGCCGAGATAAGCATCACGCCATGGAGAGCAATCCACGGCCACTCGATGTGGTACAGTACTGTGGACTTGCCCACCTTGCCGTAGTAACTCAAGGAACCGTCCTGAAAACGATCTGTATCTTGGCCACTTTTCAGACTCTGACCCGGCGCATAGTTCCTCCGCATCTCGTTGGTCATGCTTGTTGCTAGGGTGTAAAATGTGCTGGTGATATTGTGCCTGGTCCAAGTCCAGAGACCGTCCAACGCCGGCGGCGTAGCCTTCATCGACCACTTTTCCGCTTCAAACGGCCCGAACGACGCGCCATTTAAGCCAACTGCATCAGATCCCAGTACCTTCTCGATCTCCTCTCTCTGATCCGGAGTGCCTGAAAGATTGGTGCGGAACAAGTCCTGCATGTGCGCACTCATCGACTTGACAGAGTCTTGGGATATTCGGTAGTAGCCCTCGTTACTGATGTTGGGGAATTCGAGCCTCAGGTCGGTATTGTAAACAGCAGACCAATATTTATCAAACTCCAGCGTGCCATTTGCTTCTTTGGAAATGATGTTTTCTGGTTGGCCGTCCTCGTACTCTGAGGAGCGTTTCCACGAATCCGGATCTCGTCTCGAATCTAGTGCTTCGGTGACGTTCTCCTTGACTTGGTTGCCTTCAACCGCTGAATTGATCCGCTTGACACAGTAGTAGAGCGCGCACTCGGTAGCTTGCATCGGTATGTCTGGCCAAAGTTTGAGTCCGGTCGTAGAGCCCCTGTCCGACTCGCCGGGAGTGAAGCCGGTCGACTTATTGAGCGCCTCCATATCTGGGTGAATAATACTCATTGACCACAAGAGCGTATCCACATCCTTCATGGAGTTGGTTTTGCTAGGGATTCCGGTTCCGAACGATGTGGTCGTGTACTTGTCATCCGAGTAGACGCCCAATGGCTGTTTATTTTCGCATTCTGCGTAACGCCCGTTGTATGGTGGGCAGCCATCGATATTGGCAATGAAGTGACCGTTTGGAAGGACGAATGCTGTTCCGGGGACTTTATAGCCAGCTAATGTGGTGTTCGCCAACGCAATGATTGCCTGTCCGAACCCCCCGACCTGCTTGAGCTCTGATGTGAGGTCGTTGCATTTGTGGCAGATCCCTAGACTCTTGAATTGGTCCCAGGTGCAGTTGCTCGTAGGGCACTGGATCAATGCCTCCTGTTCTACTTCCCAGCGTGATTTGGATAGTCCATTCAAGATTGCGCCTTGCATGGATAGCGGCGTGTCCGTTGAAACCCAGTACTCCGTCGTGGTAGAGTTTTGCCTCGATAATTCTGTGACCTGTGCTGTGCCCATGGAGTAGGTCTGTGTGCCGGAGTTTAGCGCAAGTGGTCCTTTGTCTGTCTGAGTGCTTCGCGTATAGACAACGCCCTCTCGAACTTGGATAACCTGCTGGGCGAGGGGATCGAGAGCGACGGCAAGCAGGGTCAGGATAGCACCGAGTTGGACGGCATAACTGGTGCCGAAGTCGTCAGTGACTCTTCTATGAGATGTCAGAACATGATGGAAGAGGTGAACTCACGCGCCTCGCGTCCGAAAAATAATCCGCAAGCTTCCAAGAGGGCCGCGGGTGGCGGCGTCGATACGGTCGAAATCCATGAGCGGCCGGTCTTCGCGGGTGAAGAGGATCCATTTCCACTGCGCTAGACATTCTGAGAGGACGAATGCGACAGCGGCCTTCATCGTTACTGACAAGATCGATACTACCGCGTTGAGCGTCACCCCATTCCAGGTGAAAATTGGTTTGCCGTCAAAGCGGGCAAGGAGTACCACCATTGCGGTGAAGGAGATGATGCCGCCGACCAGGGCCCAGTATTCTGGGCCCCAGGCCGACCATCGTAGTGAGTGAAGCATCACAGGTGCAGTTTGCTCCTGCGACTGAAGTTCTGATGACGCGAAATGAAGATTGAGATTTCAAATGTGCAATGGCAGAACTACATATTGTCTATCGGGAGCAACCCAGGGACGCCAGGCAGCTGAGATTGCCATTTCTCAGCGGCAAAACCCCTGACTACATGAAGCAACTTCACGTCTAGAGTGAGATCGGTCTCACTTTAGGTGGTGTCGGGTGGATTGAAGTAAGCATTAGGATCCGAACCCATGTCCGTCAGCCCTAATACGACGAGCTAAATTCTTGACTTCACCCCGAAGGCATAGTATTTGCTCACGCAAGGCGCTATTCCTGGCCTAGCAGCGGCATGGGAAGCAAAATCACTCGCCTATAGGCTCCAGCCACCGTCTCGCATCGCTAGCGAATAAACGCGTGACACCTTGCGCCTTAAGTATTCAATCATCACGAGTTTGCAGTGGACCGTAGAAGAGTCTTCAGATTAATGTGACTGGCCGCCTCGGATTATAGAGCACTTCACTTGCCAGCAAAGATATTCCCCAGTTTCACCAGTTCGCTCCATCGCTCATCAGGCCGAACTTCAATCGTGGCCTCTGGAGTCAAGACCTTCATCTCCTCAACACTCTTCGTCCCGTACTCGTAGCCTTCAGTGTTGTTCACAAAGTTGACCAAGATTTGGATCCAGTCCTCCATTAACTGTCTTTCAGTGGGGATCGGACCATGGGTGATTGGAAAGCTACGTTGCGTCAATATGTCAGTAAGAGCGTGTAGCCGATAGATGCCGTGTCCAAATGAGAAAAGAGAGAATCAAACTGACTTCCAGATGGGCCTGTCCATGGCATGCGCCACCCCGAAGGAAGCGGGAGCCACCTTCTCGTTGATGAAGGACAGCCTGTAGGCGATCTGGTACCGCCACACGTCTCGAATATCGACGCCGTTGTCAACTAGCGCTTTCGCAAGTGCCCTGGACGGTGCCCGCACTTGTCCGTCCGAAACGATTGATCCTGTGGCATGTAGTCAGTGATACTGACACCAAGACAAACAAATCGCATTGCATAGAGGCTTCTTACCGAATGTTGTTTGCCAGTCTTGCAACTTGTCTGATTCTGGCAGCTTGTACTGTTGGATCGCGCGATCTGTAACGTCTGGAGCGTAGTAGTTTGAGACCTGTAAGCGCAGGGCTTCCAGCGTGGGCTCAGTGGGTGCGTTATATGAAGAGTAGAGAGTTTCTTCGTTGCGAACCTCGCCGATGAGTAACCTGTATCCTCTTCGCTTGAACTCATCTGCGAAGTCCTTGCCCTGGAGGTACTCAATCATACCCGTGTGTATGAAGACATCATCGGTGACGGGCCGGAAGGTGTGGTTTTTCAGTTGGGGAATAGCCTCCAAAAGCTCCATAACAGTCTTTCCCCTAAGAATCGAGAGCTTCTCCGCTCCTGACACTGAGGCGTCAATCCTAAAGTAGTCGCAAAGCTCGTCGAATTGGCCTTGGACATCGGCAAGAGATTTTGGCTGGGCCGGAATCGCGTTTGAGTCCATGAAGATGCGGTGATATAGTGAAGAGACACTTCCCGTCTTCCGGAAGTCGTAGAGCATCTGAGCTTCGGCGCTGTATGCCCCAGCACTCCGGCCGGCAAGCGTCACGTTCCCCGGATCTCCTCCGAAATGAGCAATGTTGTCTCTCACCCACTCCGCGGCCACTCGTTGGTCCCAAAGACCGAAGTTACCGCCCGCTTCACCGTTGCTCTCTTGCAAAAGGTCGTTTCCAGCAAGGAACCCAAACACGTTGAGTCGATACCCGATAGCGACGACAATGGCGTTGAGGCCACCCGTAGTAATCAGCTCTGTTGCATCCATACCCGGCTCCTGCGACGGATCACCCATCTGGAACCACCCGCCGTGAATCCAAAGCTGCACCGGCCATTTCTTGTTTTCTTCGCCTTCTTTGGGAACCGGGGTCCAGATGTTGACAAACAAGCAATCTTCGCCATAGGTGTTTCCACCACCGTCAGGCTTGACTACATGGAACGCCTTCTGAGGGCATACGGACTTGAACTTGGTTGCGTCGTATGCTCCTCCATTATCGTCGGTGTATGAGTATGATGCGGGTAATGGTCGCGGCTTGCGCCATCGGTGCTCGCCAGTTGGTGGCAGTGCGTAGGGAACACCAGTGAAGCGCCTGGACTTATTGTCGAACTGGAGGCCGCGGATCGTTCCCCGGTCGCCCAATTCGAGCTCGATTGGCGTTTCTTGGTATGAGATGGTGTTACCCATGGTGAGATGATTCAGTTACAACTATGATAAGTGCAATGGGTATGGGTAACCATCAAACATTTTCATCTGATGACTGACGGATGAATATGCCATCAACAGCTCCTGCTACGATTTCGGCGACAGAACTGGGCTCCGGCGGGTCTCCGAGGTCCGTTCCGGCATAAGGCCGATAACGCTTGATTCTCTCCCCGCGGGCAGCCAACTGATAAGATATCGCTCCAGCTTCGGCCGGATCTCCGTCCGATGGGCCGACTCGATATGTCAAGTGGAATGATTGAGTAGTGCCCACGTATGTAAATACTCTGGGGACATTAGCCTAGATACGATGTCATAAGCTTCGGCAAGTAGCTCAAGGGTTTTCATGCTTTTGACGACGAATGAGTAAACTTATATCTACTATTGATTTTGTTTTCACTTGAGCTTGCATTTGCAAAACTGTCTCCAACTAAGTATTCAACTTAACACGAAGAGAGACGACAAAATGGGGAGCCTTGGCCACAGCTCTACTATGGTGGATCTTTCCCATCATATCAATGCCAAGAGCAGAGCCCGTCATCCCTCACCGTTGAAAGACATCATCAAATTCATGGGATATGATGGCATGGTGAGCTTTGCCGGAGGTGAAACGCGAAGCTCCCGATATTTGCGATGAGATGAAATTAACAATAGTAGGATTACCTCATCCGTCTCTCTTTCCGCTTGACCAAGCCAAGTTCAATTGTTTGCTCCCCGAAGCTCCACTTTCAGCCAACCGGCATTCTCTCGAACAAGACAAAAGAGATAGGCTGAGTTTGGAATTCGGACGTGGTTTGTCTGCAGGAGATCTAGACTTGACCCAGTTTCTTCAATATGGTATGTATTCCCGCTTTGGTAACCTTCAGCCGTACTTTTACTTTCGAACAGCGATGTTGACAATTTGCCCGTAGGTTCTGGTGCCGGCAATCGGCAGCTGATAGCCCTCGCAAAAGAGCTAACAGAAAGAGTACATTCGCCCCCTTGCGAGTACGAGTGCCTACTACACCCCGGTAACACCAATGCATGGGCAAAGGTAGTTGGATTACTCTGCGAGGATGACGACTATGTCATAGTCGAAGAGTTTACGTACCCTTCCGCTCAGGCTCTCTGGATCCCATTAGGTATCAAAGCTGTTCCAGTCACTGCTGATGCGGCAGGAATCATGGCGAAGAATCTTAGACATCTTTTGTCGAGATGGGATGAGCGGGAAAGAGGGTCGCGAAGACCAAGAGTGTAAGTGCACCTGCAGACCTCAGCGCTATGGGTCCAGTAGATGATTAACGAGTAACAGACTCTACCTTGTTTCTGTCGGATCAAATCCGACAGGAATCACTATCTCAGCACAAAGACGAAGAGAAATCTACGACATCTGCGTTGAGTTTGGTACGCTCGAACTACTCAGGTTCACCTGCGGAGAAGTTGCTGATAGATAGTAGACATTATCATCGTCGAAGATGATCCTTATTACTTCCTCCAATACCCAGGCTACGGATCGCCTATAGAAACATCATTCACGCCCAAGCCCATCCCAGAATTCCTCAACACCCTCGTGCCCACGTTCCTTTCCATGGACGCCCAAGGCAGAGTCATCCGTCTCGATTCCTTCTCGAAGACCCTGTTCCCCGGACTCCGTCTAGGATACTTCGTCGCCAACCCGGTCTTCACCGAACGTCTCCTCCGCGCAACTGAAGTCGAGACACAGGACCCAGCGGGATTGAGTCAAGCCTTCGTTCTTGGTCTCCTTCAAAAATGGGGCATCGACGGTTATCTCACTTGGTTGCAAAACCTACAGTTCCAGTACCGCACCAGGCGAGACTGGCTCTTGGATGCGTTCAGTGCCCACTTTGACCTTCTGCCTGCGGAGAAGTCGCCTATACCTGAAGCGCAGGGTTTTGTAGTGTGCGTCAAGAACTCCCATGGCGGCAAGGTGAAACCCATCTTCAGCTTCGTCGATCCCGGAGCTGGCATGTTCGTCTGGTGTAAGTTCTACTTTGACGGCATCGACCGCTTCATGGAAATTGAGAAAGCCGGGAAGAGCAAAGATCCAGAGCAGGACTTTGCCAATGAGCTGTGGCAGGCGTGGGCGACGGAACTCGTTCTTCTCACTCCGGGATCGTACTATCATGCCTGGCAGGGGCCTGACAAGATGAGTACTGCCGCTCGAGGTGTTGATCCACGTACGGCGCATTTCCGGTTCTCTTTCGCGACGCCGACAGTAAGTCGATTGATTCTAGCGCCCTTAGGATATTGGAGATCCCTAACTTGGCCCATCACAGAAAGAAGAAATCAGCACCGGGGTCGTACGTCTTGCAAAAGTGATAGCGAGGTATTGGGGATAGAGGGGCTCAGCAGCCACGTCTAGTCAGGCGATGAATGCTATTGCTCAGGTTTTAGACGATTCGAACTCAAGCTAGCTATAATCCACCTTCTACGCGACTTGCAACAAGTGATAGAGTTTCACCAGTACATTCTCCCTTCTCTACATGTAAGTATGGGTATCAAAGCTTTTAAACAGCAATCGAGGGCCCGGGCTTGTTCTTGGACCCGTCATCTTGGAGATGTACCGATCTTCCTTCGATGGGCCCATCAACTCCCTTAGGTCTTTCAAAAGGCGCCATGCCCTTGCTGATCGCGACATCATCCTCGAATGTGCCATAGAGATCAAAGTCATCCTGGCATCCAAGCCTCTGTGGCTTGAAGACAAAGGTCAGGAGAGCGTAGAGCGCTCCAGCCTCCAGAAAACCGAAAATGTAGTTGCCAAGGTAATACTTGTAAAGTCCATCGTTGATCTTGACGTTGGGGTTGACCGCGGCAATCATACCCGGCATGGCGGGGACGAAGCAGACGACCCAAGCGACAAAGGCTCTCCAGTTGAAACCGTAAGTGTACCAGTAGGCTCCCTCCTTGGACCCAGTGTACAACTGGCTGATTTCAATCTTCTGCCGGCGGACGACAAAGTAGTCGGTCATCATGATGCCAGTCAAGGGGCCCATAAAGACGGAGAAACTAGCCGCCACAGACACAAACGTGCTAGCAGTGTTGTAAAACTCCCACGGCTGAACAGCCCACGATAGAGCCGCGGCCAGAAGCGCGCCACGCTTGACAGTGATCCAGGTAGGGAGCAAACCCGCGAGATCCATACCGGCAGCATATCCATTGCCGAGAATATTCTCCGCAATCTGGCCGAGAACGAAGCCCAAACTGCAAAAGAAGGCACCAGCGCGGGCCTTGGAACTGTAGTCGTCCATCATCCACTGCGTGATGACGGTCAACGGGTTCCACATGGGCTCTTCGAGCTCCCAAATCTCCATGGAGGCCGAGGCAGTAAGGATGGCGAAAATGGGCACGATCATGCCCGGGATGAAGAGCGAGAAGATGATACCGGGGACCTGGATGCCTTGCTTGCGGGCAAAACGCGTGAAGTCGGACTGGTTGAGAATACCGGCCGAGATGTTGCCGACTGAGGCGATGATGCCGTAGACCCAGGCCCATTCCTTTGTGAGGAGGGAGGGCTGCTTGGCGCCGGACTCGAAGAGAGGGCCTGTGCCGCCGGTAGTGCAGGCCCAGATCGTGATGCCCATCATTGTGACGAAGACAATGAGGTTGGCCGTGATGACGGGAATCTTCGCTTTCTCAATCCTGATGAGCTACAAGAAGAGCATTAGTAAGAGGCCTCAGAAGCTCGAGCGAGGTTTTCTCACCAGGAATGGAACCGAGATCAAGTGGAAGATGACGAATCCCACAAGGTCTCTGGTGACCATGTGCGCGCTCTCTGGGAGCGTGTTCTCCATCATCAAAAAGTTGTAGCTCCAACTGCTAAGCATAGCAGATACGCAGAGACCACCCAGCCAGGCTTGAGAGCCGTACCAGACGATGGATAGCATAATTCGGATCAATTGGCCGATGTAGGCACCGTTCATGCCCAGAATGATTCTGCAGGATCCAAGTTAATTTCACGTGCCGTTTTGCACAAGAAAAGAAATAATGACAATTTGCTGCGCTTACCTTTGAGACACAGTAAACCCAATGTGCCATTCAGAGCCCATCCATCCGTTACCGATGACGAGCAGACAAATCAGAGCTCTAGCCAGGATCATCAGACCGATGGTCTGCGGGATGGTGAGACCCAGCGACAGCAGGGAAGCCGCGCCTGTCCATGCCGAAATACAAAGACTGTAAACAATGATTAGCACATCTGGACATAAATGCAGTGAACTAAGCTAATGCAGCTTCTACCAGACTTACTTGGAGATGGATCCGAAACCCAGGAATGCCCACATTCCCCACGTTCTTCTGTTGGGAGGCAGAGGAGCGATATCAGGATTGATCCATTTCGTCGTCTCGTATCCGTGCTCATGGTCATCTCGCACCCGAAATCTCTCGAGTAATCTTTTCGCCATCGTGGCTGACGTAGGTAGTCGATGGCGGGTCTTGGGTTGAAAGAGGATCCCCACTCGGCTTCTACACACGATGAGAGTCTGTAATAGATCTCCTGTACAGACAACAATCGACGGTGTCTCAAAAGTTCGTTGAGGAACTCGGACGGAAAATTGAAGCTCGAGAACTGTCCCGGTAGCTGGTGCAAATTTTCCAACTCTGCTGAATACTTCGGTCTAAAAGAGCAGATGTGGCTCTTATGTCGGCAATAAAAACACCGCATCCCCCCACACGGAATAGTCCACCCTCCATCCCAGCGGCTTATCAGATTGATCAAGTGGTGCGAGTCCATCTGCAGCTCGACCTTATCAGATTCATAGATCCCTGAAGACCACCCCCAGGGATCTGCAAGAGACTTTTCATTCTTTCCACCCGCTGTCACCAAACGTGAAGCCGATTGTCTCCGAGGTCACATTGGACCCCGCACCTGATCCGTCCATTTTTTTTTAGGAGGCACTGGAAGAGTAGTAGCTTGAGTTTTGAGATGGAAATGAGGCTACTTGAGGAAAAGACGACCGATGGTAGAAACAAGCTGGCCGATCAGATATCCGCTCTTGGCGCTGGCTAAGAAAGGCTTTAGAGACATATGCGGGAATGCCAAGTGTGCTAACAGCATTGAACGATGATTGGTTCATCCACCATGCCCAAGGCTTCGAATCTGCGGTTGACGTTCTTGACATGCTTTATCAAGATAGCCTGCCATGATAGCAAAGATAGCCAAAGCCTGCGCCGCAACGTGGTCGCCAGGTTCAGAGCTTATGAATCCGAGACAGTGGGTGAACCGTGAAGGACTAGACCGCGTGGGACCCGATCCACGAACAACTGGATGCGCTTGCAGTGAAGCCTATTTCAACGTCAACATGTCCCCTTGGGAGACAATTCTACGATCTAAGCTAATGCACCCGTTTTGTTTCATAAAATCATGCTTATGAGGTGGAGAGAGAGAGAAAGGCCCGGCTCATGATGGAATGCCGCCCGTCGTGCCGCCGCCGCCACAACCCGAACCTTGGGTGATTTGTTTAATTACCTCACCCACACGCCGGCCGACCTCCCAGTTGATGGATGATATGGAATCAGATCGGCAAACACTCCCCCGGAAACTCTTGCGCTAAAATCATCCAATTCCACTCCCTCCCTTGATCCCTCGCCTTCCAAACCCGTTCCTCGACAAACATCCTCGTCCGCTCAACCGTAACCGTCTTGCGGTGCGTGCCAATCGAGTCAAAGACGTCAAGCACGGCAGCCCGGTCATCCACGTCCAGCATTTCACAAGCAGCCATGAAGACGGGCCACAGCAGCATCTTGGACTCGGAGGGCGGCCCGCTCGTGTACAGCATCACGTCGTGGGCCTTGCTCAATGCCTCGCCATCCGCGTCCGCTGCGGACCCGGGGAGGCAGAAGAGCCGGTGCAGGTAGAGGAGGGCGCCCGCGCGGTAGCAGGCAGCCTGGGCGCGGAATTTGCGCGCTGAGCGGAAGGAGAGACTGTCTGAGATTGTGGGCTTCCAGGACTCGAGGCGCAGGCGAAGGGAGTCGGCGCGAAGGGCGAGGTTGGAGTAGCCGGCGTCGAGCCAGCTGTCGACGCAGATGGGCGGAGACGATGAACCCCTTTCCTCTGTGCTTGTCGGCGATGTTGCGCTGCCACCGCCCAAGAGGGTATTTGGAAAAGCAGGCTGAAGGATCTGGTCGCGGACCTCTTCGGCTAAAGTGCAGAGCTCTTCTAGCAACGGCATGAGGGTAACGGTATACCCGAGAAGACGGTCTGGCTTGGCCGCTTCATTTTCTAGCCAGACGTAGCTGGGAACTCTGGGACGGCGGAGCTGAATCAAAGAGACGACGAGGTCTTGTCTCGCCAGTGCTCGGAGGTAGTATCTAGCCACGGAAGATACGTCGCCTCCCGTAGAAACGTGGTGGCTGATAAGAGAGGCCACGTTTGATAGGACTGTGGGTATGGTTGCATGGTGTCCTGGTTGTGCCAAAGTGACGAGCTAGACCCTGTGAGCAATTCGATTCGGGTCACTGGGGTGTAGTGGCCCATCCATCCATCTAATGCAAGGTCCACGGGGTTCATGTTCCAGTCTCGAGCAGAAGTGATGGAAACCGACCCACGCAGGAGAAAGAGGGGGCAAAGGGAAACATGAACTCACTTCCATTGCGCACAATCCGAGAAGCAGAAAGAGCGCTTCTTCAAAGTAGTGACTTGAGGGCTTCATATTCCTCAAGTTTGCGAGGATCTTTGCCCTCCGGTTCAATACAGGCAGCAGCGCCGCGGAAGAGCTGCCGACGTCATATGAGTAGCCAATGGCCGAAATCGTGTCAGCAATCACCACCGGGTCCTGCTGCAGCATCATCACGATGTTGGCGTTCATCTCGCACACGAACTCGTGACCTATCAACAGCTCAAAGGGGTGTCTGTTGAAGTAGACTTCTAGATACGGCTGGTCTGCGACAGGCACCGACCCCGGAGGAAGCAGAGAAAAAGTGCGTGTATCTAGAGCCAGTGTCTGCCGATTTGAAATTGGCGGTGATCTTTGTGCCGCCGGCGTCGTTGAGCTGCTGCTTGAAGACCCGGCGGAGACGGCTACGGAGAGGAGATCCGGAGAGCTTGATACAGATCCCGGTACTGAATCCTTTGCTGCCGCGGCGGCGGTATTACTGGCACCAGCACCGGCCGCCAGCAGAGACGAGGGTGAGTGCCTGGCATGCTGTGCAGCGCCGGGTTGCGTCTTGTATCCCTGGCACACGAGCCTACGTCGAGCGCAAGTCCCGCATGAGGGGCGTATTTCATCGCACTTGACTTTTGCCTTGCGGCAGTCGATGCAGCCGTTGCGCGAGCGTCGCGTAGGAGGGACCAAGGGCGGCATCTGAACTGGATCGGATCGTCGCGGCTAACTCAACTCCAGTGTGCAGAGAGTAACCAGGGTAGCAGCTGCAGTAACAAAAAGCAAGGCCGTGTGAGAAAGATACAGATAAGAGAGGTGAGGACTGAAGAGAGATTGTAAGATAGAGAGGGTCCTGGATTGTGCCTTACATCCGTTGACGGGCGTCTTGCTGTCGCTCGGATTCGGGATAGAGTTGTGGCTGGCGAGAACCAACGTTCGTTATCACGCTTCCGCCCGCCCCTCCTTCAACCGAGCGAGCGATTTTCTGCAGTTCTGCAGCAATTTTTTCGCCAAATTGGGGGGCCCTAGTAGGCTGCTGGCTGCTCAAAAGAGAAGACAAGGGTGTAGTTGTAACATGAATGGATGGGCGGCAGAATGCTGCGTGAGTGTGGTGAGCAATAAGTTTTTATCTTATCAGATCATCTCCATCTAGACGATCCAGCCCAACCCCCGCGAGTTGCAGGGGTTTCCCGATATTAGTGAGGGGTGAGGATGGTGAGGAGAGCCACTTGCGGCGGTACATCGGAGCCTGCGATCAACTTTGATAGGGTGTACTGTGCATGGAGAAGTAACTGTGGTTCGTCTGGTGTTTTCATGTAATTTTTCAGAGGAAGTCCACTGGAAGATTGATCCATCACGGCCTCGGCATATGTACGTCTGATCACACAAGCCATTCAATGAGCCTGCTCAGATCACTTGCTACAGTTACTTACTTAGGACGGCCAACGACCGACGAGAGAATTCCAAGGTATGGTATGGTCGTTGTAGAAAATTCTGATCATTATCGAACTCTCTTTACATTGGAAAGCCGGATAATCGTTGTCGTCGGCGTGTGTCCGCCTTTGAGGGTCGCCATTGTCAACACCCTGGAAATTCTTACGTACAAATGCGCCGTCAACCCAGCGAGTCATTTATTTCAAGCACCACAAACACATTACCCAAAATCTTCAAGAATCTTCAGTGGGCTCTCATTATTTCATCATCGGTAGTGAGCCAGATGACCTTGAGCCCTTTAGCTAGGAGAGATGACTCTGTGAGATCCTACCTAGAGTACCTTCCTGTGAGATCGTACCTCATTATGCTATGACGTCTGAAGCCTTCGCCAAGGCCTCTCTCAGTGAATAAGGTGCTTGGGATCATTTCATTCATTCGAGTACTCCAATCGGGCGAAATTTGAGAATTGATGTGAACGTTACCTATTCTTCCAATAATAGTGATTAGGTTATACACCAGTCACGGCAATCCAGAGACAGCTGCTGTCTCACCAGGCAGGTCACTCGCTAGATCTACTGCTGTAAATTGCCGATGTTCAGGGCCCACACTGCTCACTCAATCGAGCGGGGGAACAGGTGAGCCGGTCCTCACCGGCGCTGGTGTGGACGGACCTCGAGCATCACCACGACTGCATCCGGTTTCAATCCGCGGAGTCGCAGCACAATGCCCCATTTTCCTGTTTTTCGGGGGACTTTTGCCCATTAGCCTTCTCGAGCCGCCTTGAAACGGTGTGCGCTCTTCATGCTTGATACCCCGCGGAAGACCGACCGGCCGAGTAAAAATACAGGTCTACTCTTTGCTGGTGGTAGTCTAGCGTCGCTGTGGCTGGTCTCACTCCTTCGCCTTGGCAGTGAGACTGATGACATCAACGGTCGATCCCGCGTTCTGGCGTTGCGCTACTGCGGCCGCTACCACCTTACAACCTACACAACGACTCGGAATCAGGCAGCCAGACGTGTCAATACAGTGATTTCAGTCGTGACGGCAACGGACAGCCACTCGTACTGCCTATTTGGGATGGTTTGGTCTATGCTGTGCCACAGCCGATGTCATTTGGCATCGCGCTGGTTTGGCACTATCTGAGGCGGTGATGGAGGATCACTAGGGGTGGTGATCAACACTGTTGTCTCTGCCGTGTGGCTTGAAGCACTTGGGATGACGTTCTAGAAGTCTAGTGCTTTAATTTTGAACGATAAAGACTCAGGCAATTCCTCGACTCAATTTGATCGCAACAAGTTGTCAATTTGAAAAAAGTCTATCAAATCACAACTGTCACAGAATCATAATTCATCTATCCTCAATCAAAGTCAAAGGAAACCTCCACCAACATGCCCGCCATCCAAGTCGAAACCAGTAACGCTGCTCGCGATGTCGCAAAGCTCGTCGCCCGCGTTACAACATCAACTCGTATCGGTAGAACCCGAAGCGGCGTCAGAGTAATCGGCGGCGGCATCATCGCAGCTATCGTCGTCGGCGTAGTCATCTTCCTCGCCGTAATCATCATCGGTGTCTGTCTCTTCCGCCGACACAAGACCCAGAGCAAGAGACGTCAGCAGGAGATGAACAAATACTACGGCGGCGACGGCCGGTCCAGCATCGGCACTGACGCCCCTCCGCCCGGCCCTGGCTACGGAAACAACAACACCAGCAACGGCTATGGCTACACCCAAGGTTACGGTCAAGGTCAGAACCAGGGCTACGGATATGCGCACATGGCTCAGCCTGGTGAGGCTGGGTACGTGGCACCGAGCAACGGCGGCGTAGCTCCGATGGCGCCTGCTTATACCGCCAACCATATCACGCACACGAAGTAATGATGTACGGAAGAAAGTCACGATACTGAAATGAGCGAGGAGAGATGTTTTATATAATACGATGATGTTTTGTAATTATAGTGCGATACCCAAGGCCTCATGAGTTGTAATAATAAATATATTGAGTTGAACTTATGCAAGGTAGTTCCTAACGACATTCCCTCGCAATCGTCAATTTTGATAAGCAATTGAAGTCTATCTCCTGTGTTCACATTGTCTCAAGCAAGACTGAACTGTATACGTGGCCATGTGTAAGTTTCGTTGTAATGATCTTAGCGGCTCGCCGAAGTCATCGTTGGGAGGAAGCACAATCTCCGGCATGTGTGCTTTAGAATTACAAAAATCTTAGGAAGCAGGGCTAATTTGGATCTCTCTTCTTAAATTCATTGCATTAAACGCCATACGCATGCTGCTGATGGGTACTCATCTTGTCACAAGCCGCAGGGCTAATTGAGTGGTTATCCTATGATTTTCCCCAGCTGTTGACGGGCTTCCTCCTCAAGACATTCCTAGCTTTGCGAGCTGACTATTTTCGCCGGTGCTACACTCTCCACCGAGTTATCAACCTTTTCAGTCATAGGGGGAGCTTTCCCTTTACCCTTCTCTCCTTCTGTCCACTCTTGATACCCAAGCGACATCCAAACCCAGATCCCAATAGCGCTCGAGAGAACCACAAACGTCAAGATGCCGGCGCCAGCACGGTCACCGGTAGTCAGGGGATCAAACTCCTTGAACGGATTCGAGTTCATTCCCGCATTGGGATCGCCCTTTGAAGTGCCACCAGTGGTATTCGTAGCAGGAGGGGCCACTTCCAGCAGACTCTGCACCGCAGCCAACACGTTCATAGCCTCGCCCGCGCCAGAAGTCTTGTCGACAGCCGGGTCGACAAATACGCCTTTGTTCCAGTAGAATCCGCAGGCGCGACCCGAGGCACCGCCTGTACACTGCTTGATGGCTGATAGAGTGGAGTTGCGCAGGACCGGAAGGATGAGGTCGCGGGTTGAGGGTACGAGTTGTGTTACTACAGTCATCCAGCGATGGACGTATCCCTTGAAGCTAAGCATGTCTTGGGAACAGCGGCCGGTCTCGAATTCGCAGGGGATTTCGTATGCGACGCCATCGGCGAAGAAGTCTTCGATGGCGCGGTTTGCGAGGGCTTCGGTGCGGTCAAACCATTTCTGCTCTCCCGTCTGTGGAGGGTCAGCATCTCGACTGATATATGGACATAGAGTCACTTACATGGTTCGCCAAAAACGCACAACCTTGCATCAATACGGCAATATTGTATGAGAAGGTTGCCTTGAAGATGTTGGTGCAGTTCTTCGGCACATGAGCACCGTCGTAGACTCGCCAGTTCTCGTGATCGATGTAGTTTACCGCCCATAGCCAGTCCCATGTCTGTTCGGCGTAGCGAGCATACGTATCGTTGCCGGTATAGCGCGCGAGTCTAGCACCGATGTTGAAGAAACACCCGTTTGAAATTGTGTTTTTGTAGTCGTAACCCGTGTTAGTCCTGGGAACCTGCCACCGCATACCGCCGCCACATGTCTCGTCGTGCCTCTCCGGGTCCGCCTGAGTCGTCCAGACAGCTTGTGCGAGCGCAAGCCACTGTGGTTTATCTTCCGGAGGGTCGGGAAATTTGTTCTCTGCTGCGAGCATCGCCGTCATGCCCCAAAAACCTTGGTCGTCGTTGCCGAGAGAGGCGGTGTGGTTCCGTGGCATGTAATCGCGGCCTTCTCCGACTTGATGGAGCATGCCTTCTGTAACGACGTGGTTGTAACTCTCGTCGCCCGTGTAATACCAGTAGTCGACGTATGTTCCCATCATGGCGCCACCCTGCCACCAGTAGTAATCACCTTGGCCCGAATCTGGTGGTCCTGGCAAGATGCCAGGAATTTCTCCCGTCTTGTTTCCTTCGTAAAACTTCATAAGATCGTATGCGAGTGTGCTGGCCGTCGTGAGAATATCATCTGGATAGTGGGGGTTGTTAGACTCTCTGGCGTTACACGGGTTGTGGTGCGTTTTGGTCCTTCCTATGCGTACCTCGAGTGTCTATTGAGTACGCCGCCTCGGCAGCCCTGGAGAATGCCCATAACGCCAGCGGCACTGCGCTCGGGATATGGGATGACAGCATTTTGAGCGAGTGATAAATTTGGTATACGCCCTAGCCTGGGCTTTTATGGTAGAAAAATGAAACGAGCGACTGGTCAAGCGGTGAGTGTACGATCAGTGGTTCATGGTCGGAATCTGCCCAGTGCAAGTGACGCTGGAGAAGATGGGGCGCAGATTTCGACACCTCCAACCGATGGCCCGCGTGCTGGTCCGAAGAGATGCACACGAGGGAGATCTTGTGTTATAACAGTCGTTCCGCTCGGAAATGGAAAAAAGGGCGCAGTTCCTGGAGGATTCCCTTAACGCAGGCTAAGTGATCTTTTACCGCCGGGGTCGAGTTTTGGACGTTATTATTGTTCAACTTGGTACGTTTTGGGAGTAGGCTGCTGCTTGTGGACGAGAACAACTTTGGGAACCAACAAGGAGGATCAGCAAAGTTGGAATTATCTAGGGAGAAGCGCAGGCGAACGACCGGAAGATGCGGAAAGCAGCTAGAGCAAGTTAATCTGGGAGAAAATCCGGGGAAGAGCATATTGGCGGCAGTCATGCTACTTTTGTTCCCCTTTCGCGCATCTTGGCGCAGATGTGGACTCCTCACGAGCATCCTCTCAGGATTCCTGCTGATTCATGGCTTTGCCTTGGCGACATGGGACCAAGTTCCAACTGAAAGCGAACGAGATGGTAGCGGGTTTTCATCCGTCAGGGTGCACAAGAGGAGAATATTGAACCTTGGAACAGTCAGGCCTGAGGTATGCTTTCAAGAAGGACAATGACGCGGTGGAAAAGCCAGAAAAACAACACCAAGAGGCTACTAAGAGGCACCAAGAGGCACAGCTCGCCTGGGCATTGGGGCGGTGCAAGGGCCTACCCATCCTGCCATCCAATCTCGACTCGTCCCTTTGCCGGATGGATTGTGCGTCGCCAAGACAAATACGAAAGTAAACGACGGGAATGCGCCTAGGTGGGCTATTGGGCGGCCTGGGCAAAACATCCATTGGCCTTGAGAGTCTGGCGAGCCTGGACTTGATCCGCAAACCTGTGAGATCATCCACCGGACTCTCTGGCCAGGGGGTCTTGGGGTCTCTTGGGGGCTCTTGGAAGCTCGGCCAGCACACGCAGTGTTGACACGCCATGCTCCTTTGCCGCCTTGTTCATGACTTCAGGTGGCCCAAAAGCTCACCGGCCCCTTATGTTTTGTGATGCCTGAGTGAGTGAGAGCTGGGCGGAGTTGTATGATGTAGTCCGAGGTCAACATTAGCTATGAGACGGCGTCAGACAGCCCGCCATAGTGTCTAAAGTCTAGACGTGTTCGAGGGCCCTGGGGCCAACCGTTGGGAGCCACCGCGGGGTGACCTCACACGCACCGTACCCAGTCAGCCAAAGAAGCACAGCTCACTCAGCTATGCAAGAGCGGGGATCATGGATTAATTAGCTCGGTTCCGTAAACCGAGCTGAAAGTCTCTCGTAAGGCCCTAAATTCGGTTTAGCGTAATGACTTCCCCTTGCTACAACGGATGCTCACAAGCACAGATTCACTAAATGCACCCCGTTGCGGAGAGACATCATGAAGCAGTAGCTTTCATATCTTGTGGGCTAACCTCATCAATCGAAGAATGAAGGTCTCGGCACTCATTTCAGCGCATTACTTGAAGTGAAGGACAGCGACACAACCGCTTCTTATCCACTCACCACTGCTCAAGTGATTGGCATTAGCGATAAAACACAACGGCAGACCCGTACTTCGTGAGAAATGCCACCTTGGCTTGGCGAGAGTTTATTCAACCCCTGATGAGACTCACTACATCTTCGACTCCCTTTCAATCTAAGAATGTCTGCAACATTCCAGTACATATGGGGTGCCTGTTTCGCAAGTGCCCAAATGATACGCTTGAGGATACGCTCAAAACTTTCACTCTGCTCATAAAACCGGCATAATAGTGAGCTTTCAACTACCTAAGCCATAGTATATGACCGACAGCATAATTTAGGTAGGTACGTAATCAGCATGTATTTCTAAATGGTACTCCAGCCTTTGTTGGCCTTTCTCACCTTGTTTTGAGCCGTGTTGACTCCCTCTTGAGGTCATGGAAAACTCCAGGAGCTTGAGGCATTTGAGTTCAAATGAGGTCGCGTACCTTTATGGACTGACATAGAAACATGGAGTAGTATGAGATTCAGTCAGATGTTCACAAGTTGCCATCAAGACATCATCTCTGGCCTCAAATTTTACAGGTAAACTGCAGCGGATCAGAGCATGATGCATGTGCAATGAAGCTTATGTTGAACAACCTCGGCATTTCCACTTCGCCTGGTGTTTCAAAACTGCATCTCCATCGCAACATGCACGGCCCGATGAAACAAAGTTCGGACAAAGGACGAGAACAAAACCAAAGCAGTACCCTGATTTTCGAAGATCGGCCGCAGATCAGGGTGCTTACTCTTCCACCCACAATCATGGATCCTGTAACCATTGTCACTGCTGCAGCTTCTCTGGCAGGCGCCGTCCTGAAAGCCTCTTGGAAAGTTAAAGAGACCATCGACGCCTACGACGACGCACCTCAAAACGTAGCAGACATTGCTGAAGAGGTACATGCGGTACAAATAGCGCTCCGACAGGTTGAGAGCGTCGTGCTTCAGGATCCAGAAGCCATTGACCGGCTAGGCTTGGAGGATGTCTTTACCGTGGCCGTCAACGGGTGTCATGCTACGCTTTTGTCTATCAGCAAAGAGTACGAGGATCTGTTTCTCCGGACTGACTGGAAGACCAAGATCAAAGTCCTGTGGAAGGAGGGAGAAATGACACGGCTGCTTGGGCGACTAGACCGCAAGAAAGCTACGTTGACGCTATTGACGCAGACGTTGAACCTGTAAGTGACTATGCGTCGCATATTATTCTACGTCTACTAATCTTACCATAGTCGATCAACCCAGGACATAAAGACATTGTTGATGCAAAATCAGTCAACCTTGAACGCAGCAAAGCAAGATGTCCGAGAACCTGCGGCGTACTACCCAGATGTACCTGACTTCCGACCAGCTAGTCCCGATTCCCTGGATGAAGGCAGCGTGATCGGTGTCCCAAGGAACAGGGACTCAGTCATTAGCACCACGGAGTTTGACTTTGACTACGACTTAATCAACACTAAGACATACCGACGAGCGCTCCAAAGATATGCCTCTTTCAGCACGCGTACCAGCTCATCAGTGGAGCAAAGTGCAGACGAGTCGCCTGTTGCGACATCAGATCTCGAGCCAGTCATGGAGGAAGAAGCCGAAGTAGAGGATCTCATCAGTTTCTCCCCCGAGGACTTGAGTTTGCAAACACCCTTGAGTCGGGCGACGACATTGCGACCAGAGCTAGAAGTCACCGACTGTGATACCCCGCCAGCGACACCACCTAAGGACTTAGATCACAACAAGGCTGTGGCGCACGTAGAGCAGCTTAAAGCTTCTGGTTCGAAAGAAGGAAGGGACACAGAGACGCCCGAACCCTCCGATGATTCAAAGGCAAAGAGAACATCATCCCGCAGGAAGCTAGACAGGCGTCCACCAAGACGCCTCGCGGCAGCAGAAGCAGCAGCGGAGAAGTTTCACAGACGAAGCAGGCACGGAAAGTCGGGCACTGCAGCGGATCAGGAGCTCGAGGTATCATCCAACACGAGCACTGGAATGCTCAGCCGAAGTGTCAGCTTTGATGAGCCACTTGCAGATACTGCGTCTCAATCATCTGGGAAGCCAGATAAGTTGAGAAGTCGGCGTAGGTGTGGACATCCCGCTCATCATAGAAGACGGCCCTGCAGGGAAGGTTCGTTCTCTTCTCGCGGATCCGATGAGTCAACCATGACGCTGGGCTCTGTAGAAACTTTGACGGATACCCTGGAAGACTTTAGTCTCTCGGGGCACAAGGTATTTGGAAGGGAGAGGGGAAGGCGACGGCAGGCTGCGTGAGACGTTGTAGACTAGAGCCAGAACAAGCATATTCGCATCATACTGTAGAGAACAGAACTGATGTCGAATGAGATTCTTAAGAGTTGATGGATCACAAAAAAGTATCACACTTACGCTGAGTTTGCACATGATGGTAATGCATCGGACTTACAATCTTTACTTTGTCCCAACGAAACGAGACGAAGTTGCCGACACTCAGTCAGATGACATATTTAGGATTCAAATGCTCTCGTCAATTTCAACCCTTGCCTTCGCAGCAGGAGCAGCATTGAGCTACGCAGAAAGGACACATAAACTATCCATATTCTAACTAAAAACTCACCAAAGTCGCTTGGCGCGGCGAATCGATCTCGACAACAATTGTTCTGGATCAACAACTAGAATTCTGCCCATACTTTATAGACCAACTTCCGGGGGGTATCATTGAAACTGAATTAAGTTCAGAAAGATATATTCGTCAATGAAAACTTCGCTCAACAAGAAGACTTGAAGCCATCAAGCCACCTTGTTGTGATGGGGCTGGACTAGGGTCACACTCTCGTCAGCTCAACGATTGGACAAGACTTTTGGAGCCGGATGACCGATGCCGACAACCGGAGCCTGGTGCCTAGAGCTCTCAATTTCTCGCATACCGACATAAATCTTAGCCATTCGATCACTGAACAGGGGGAAAGCTCGGCGTTTGAGGAGACTTGGATGAGTATCCAAGGATCAGTAAATGCTTCATCTAAAGTACAATGGACCGACGATACTTCAAACCAAAGCAACAAGTTTCGAACACCACGGTTGCGTCTCGTGGACGACATCGATCACAATCACCACCAAGATCAACCCGTCACTTTACGAACCTGAAGCCACTTACATACGAACCTTTGAGAACATCGCGCTCGATTAGAGTAGTCCAGATTCTCAAATTTAACGAGGAAAACCTCGAGATCTTTGCGACACTAAACCAGGTAGTACTGGGCGACACTGAAAAGACAACTACGAAGTATGCTGCTTTGTCCTACACATGGGGTCATCCAGTTACATCTACGGAGCAATGGGGGCCATACAGTGTCAAGCCTGAGAAGACGATCGCCAAAGCGAAGCTCATCTTGGTCCAGCCCGGAGACTATCGTCGCATGCTAAGCGACGACAATGTCATCAGCGACTGTACCTGGGTCGACCCATCACGGCTCTCAGAGTACGAGATGACTGAGAACCTATCTGACTTTCTTCTAAGCTTGACGAGCCGATCCGAGGAACGCGGTGCACACATACCTCACGTTTGGATCGATGCCGTCTGCATAGACCAGACGAACCCTCAAGAAAAGGCCGTCCAGATCCCACTCATGGGTGAGATCTATGCGCAGTCTTCAGCGGTCTACATCTGGCTAGGGAAGCACGATCGAGACCTCCAGGGTCTGTACTGGATATACAGAGAGCTGTTGCCGGCAATCAGAGAGCATCAGAAACAAATATCCTCATATCAGGAGTTTTTCAAGTGGCTTCAGTCGTATGGACCCGGCGATGAACGACTCCTGGTAGATCTTGGGCTCAAGCTCGAGAATACCTCTCTGAAGAATCAGTGGATCACATATCTCATGTTCTTCGCGACAAGGTCCTGGTTCTTCAGGGCTTGGACCTTGCAGGAGGCTGTGGTTGCCAGCAACCCTGTCTTTGTTGTTGGAAACGACTTCCATGTCTTGAGCTGGGCTGATACCTGGGATTTGAGAAGAATCGTCCAGGCCTGGAGCAACGGTCTATCAGAACTCACAATGCACAACAAAAAGCTTGCTCCCGAGTTGAGAGGCATTCGTCTCATTCGAGGCTGGACTGAGATATTTCCCCTTCGAAGTACCTTCTCGAGCTGCCTCCGAGCTGAAAGTCGGGAGCAATGGGTTCAGACATGGTCATTATTGCTCTTTATCGCCACGTCAAAGGACTGCACTGTGACGGTCGACAGAGTCTACTCGACCTTTGGCATGGCCAAGATGATTTGCCCACCAGAAGCCAGCGGATTCCCAGAAGTTGACTTTTCACGGTCCGCCACCGAAGTCTTTACAAATGTCGCTCAGTTTCTGCTGTGCAACAGCGGAGGTCTGAGTCTGCTGTCTCTCGTTACAGATCGGACGTTTATCAAAACGACTGGTATGCCTTCTTGGGTGCCAGACTTTGCCATCAAAGGAGATCAAGGCCACTTACTTTCCTCCGTAACAAAGTTTAAAGCCTCTGCGGGTATTCCTGTAGAGCCTCTACCTCGTCACGACGGTGATTGCATTACTTTCCGGGGGAAAAGGGTCGGCAAGATTGCATTCATTCCGCCTAATGGTGGCAAGTTTAGCCCCTTTGCGCTTCAAGTTGCTCTCTGCATTCCTCATCTGCCCGAAAAGTACCCGGCAAGTACCGCGGACAGCGCTGAAGCTCTGTGGAGGACTTTGATATACGACTTGGGCGAGACTCCCACCACATCTACAGGGGCAGCCGCCGAAGGAGGAGCTGATCCAAAACATGCACAAGGCTTCAAGCAATGGTTTACAATTGACTTGACGACATATCTCAATAGGGATGGGCATGGCTTGGAAAGACACGAGAGCCGCGAATTCGGCTGTATCCTTTCGTCCGACTTTCAAAAAGCTCATAGCGAGCTCATTCCATCCCTGGATGAGATCCATCACATCGTTCACTACATACTGGCACACCCGCAACTGGTGCATCCATCGCAGGTCCAAGGGCCACTCGGCAGGTCATACCACACTTTGATGACTCCTATCATTATGAACAGACGACTGTTTGTTACTGATCAAGGGTTTATCGGATTGGCAAAGTTATCGGCTCGCATAGGCGACGAAGTTTGGGTCCTTGCTGGTGGTAGGGTTCCCTACATCATGAGACCGATAGAGGATGCTAAGAGGTTCTCGCTGGTTGGGGATGCTTATGTACACGGTCTGATGGATGGGAGTTGGTCTGTCACGAGTCACGCGACTGTTGAGGATGTTCAGGTTGTGTGAGGTTGTCAGCCAAGTTCAATTTGATAAGATGCAGCGAGGGTTTGCACAACAAGCGTTATCCTCACTGCGGGCCGGGAGTCGATAGTCAGTTACGAAAGCTTCTGGAACTTGCCTATGAGCGTTGCCAGCACTAAAAACCAGCACATAAGATTTCGCCAAAACGATGGTGGCGTCATGCCTCTTACCTGACGGGTAGCCTAAGACATGAGGTTGTCTAAATGTTTAAAGTCGTGAGCAACCTGGACTATCATCGGGTTGTGTGAGTTGGTTATTGTCACACTCATTTCTCGACATGTGTGGCAGCAATCTTCTCAAACGGGCGAAAGTGACAAACAAAAGAGCATAACTCGAGTTGCTTAATGGCGATCGCGTTGTCTTATCGCGCGACAACTGGTAAAATCAAGTAACGATAGGCTACTTTCGAGCTTGCTTTCCTGCTTGCTTGCAGTCATGACTCCAATTAGGCTGATGGACAGGCCAAAAGTCGACGTGTGGCGCCGGGCGCTGACCTGTGAGGCTAGCGAACGAGACACACGCCAAAGAGTCATAGATGCTCAGTGCTGCAAAGGGCTATTGATTACCGAGATCTGACGAGCAGGACCGAAGAGCTCGCCCAAACAGGCTTCGCGAAAGGGCGTCGGGTCGGGCGCGTGTGCGCCGACTTAGAGCCTTGGCACTCTGCAAAAATCCCCTGGCCCGATTTCAAAGGTTCCAGGCGCGTTCGAGAGCACGGTTGAATGGTGGACGGGTGGCGGGGGGAACCAGGGGTGGTTTGCGGAGGCCACGATTTGGCTGCTCAAAGGGACGGCGCGAAGCCCTTTTGGGAGTCAATGTCCGGGGGCTGGATTTGGGGCGATTTCCTTCCTGGCCATTCTCTCACCTCTGCTCAGTGGCTCGTGCTGGTCGGGCGGTTGTCAGAACTTTAGATACGGCAGTGCCAGCTCCCATTTGCGAATGGTCTGCGGTCTGAGTAAGTCGGGCACGGCGAGGAAGGATTCGGTGCGGGAGGCAACGCGCGGAACCCGCCCCGGCGGCTCAAGCCACGGTCCTTTGGGCGGCGATAGAGTGTAAAAAGATATGACAGGCCTGGAGGGTCGCCAGCTGCTGTTGATCGAGCAGACCTAGTCTCAGAAAGGATTTGGCGAGCTGTCAAGTCAAACTGTCATTTTCATTTGTAAGCTGGCATGGAAATTGATCTCGGCTACTCTCTGCAGCTTCTTCTTTGGTGTTGGACTGAGAACAGAAGTCCTTCAACATCTCGGTCATGTGTCAAGGGCGCGGTTTACATGTCTTCGACCTGTCGGGCACTAGCGATCAGGGGAGAGAGTCAAGCTTTGCGAAGGCCACGCCAACGTACCAAAGCTTTTGAGCCCGGCTTGGAAGCATTGGCAAAGTTACCGTGATGGCTTGGCCATCGCCTGGGTGCGGCGGAGAGCACGACTGCTTCAGGGCTGCATTGTAACACACTGCACCAGGCCACCGTCAGTAGAGCGCAGCGGCGAGCAGAGTTGGGTTCCTGGTGGGTTTGGTGGCCAGCGGCGGGCGGCGGAATCCTGCAGCTGTTTGTGCGCCATGGCCCGCTAGTTTCTGGGCATTCACACCCTCATCCTAGCTGATCAAGCCATCCCGGATGGCACTTTGAACGACGTTGGAGCGAGTGGTGTGAGATACGGCGCGTGAGCTGTTGACAGCGAGGGACCTGCCAGTTCGTCAAGCAGGCTGGTAGGCACGTAGGCAAGGCATATGTAAGGTAGATCAGTGATAGTTGTGAGCAGTCTTCAGTAGACCTCCGTTTGCATGTGCCTTGCTTGGCAGGACGATGGCCGCATGAAACATTGTTGCCATTGTCAAGATGGTTTAGGGCGGCGACTCGGCGAGGAGACCTGTGTCTCGAATGGCTTATCTCGAACAGTCTCATCGTGTGTTTGTGTGTGTCGATATTTGTGGCGTAGATGACAGACAGAATTGACACGGACGTCTGATTGGCTTGCAAATGAGAAACTGTCCTGCTTTACGACCACGATGTATCCTTTCGACAGTGAATTGTCAGTGATCCAGTGAAGAGTTTTCGTTATCAATTCATCAATTGCGGTCTTGGCGGCTCCGCACCGCCATAGTAGTTGATCGATGGGAAACGGCATCAGTTTCCCAAAGCGCTTAATCCCTAGCGGCTGGTAAGCCTAGCCGAGTCAAGTGGGTAACGACAAATGTCCGCTAACACATCCTCCTTCCCTTTTCATGGCATCAATGTGTCCGTCCAGATTATGCAAAGTCGCTCTGAAGAAATGCTAGTTGAAATGAGTGCTATTATCATGGCATGTCATGATGAGGACTAAACGTATAAGTTCACGTGGAGGATTTACTTCGACAAATTTCGGATTAGAAGTGTATAAAGACAGTGCCTATAGTGACAAGATAAAGAGCCCATAGGTGTTGGGCGGCAGACCATACTGCTACAATTGTCACGATGCATCCTTGCCACAGACCCAAATGCTAAGTCGGGAGACGGCAGACCCCTGTGGAGAGCATTTTGCGGGGAGTACAACAGGTCTGACAGCTCTAACATGGTGCTGAGCATGGGTTTATTTCACCTGACACACAGAGACGTGGTTACCGATCTGGCCTTGTGTTCTTTGTTCGATGTCGGTTGGAATCTGAATCGCAGTTTACCACTTTCTAGAGTCTCAAGCACTCCAGGCTCTAGGCAGCTTCGCGCAAAAGACATTGACTATCTCAACGGCTTCATGCGGATTTCCGCGGTTTGAAAAGAGTTATGATCGGACACACCAAGGTTGAGGCTAGGCGAGGTTGAATTTGAATAGGGGGCTAAGGCAAAGCATCCGCATTACGGTTGCCTACTCCAATACCACTGGAACGCATCCCGCTCAGGGCATGCAGCCCCATTGAGGCATCTGCCAATCGGGACCCCTGCGGTCCAATATCGGGGAGGACCTTTTGTAGCGTGTCCCGTTGCCCTCCGACGAATGGCACGACAATCAGGACCAGTTCAGCAGAAAGACTTCAAATCACCTGTTGCGGAAGCTGCAGGCAGGGTTGGAAAAAATACTACTAGTATTTAGTATTAGTCTAGTCTAGTACTAGTAAGTCTAGTATTAGTCCACCCTTTGAGATACTAGACTAGTATTAGTATACTATTAATATACTAATTAGTATAAAATATACTATTTATAATAGTTTTGTTACTATTTTTAGAAATTTAAATATTAGTCTTAACTAATTCTAAAAAAATTCTAAAAAATATAATAAAAATTATTTCTATAATAAATATAAATAAAACTATTTAATTAAAAAATATCTATAATTCAATTTTTAAATTCTTAGAAAATTTAGTAAAAAACTAATATTTTAAGAATATTTTATTTAAATAATAATATTTAAGCTTTTAAAGCTTTATAAAAAAAGCTTTTAATGGTTTTATTTTCATATATATTAATATTTATAATTAATTATTAATTATAAATTTGTAAATAATTTTTTTAATATATACTAATTAGTATACTAATACTAGTCTAGTATAGTATTAGTCTAGGCCGTACTAGACTAGCCTAGTATTAGTCCAGGTCGTACTAGACTAGCCTAGTATTAGTCCAGGCCATACTAGACTAGACTAGACTAATTTCCAACCCTGGCTGCAGGAGACTTTATGTCGCCAAGACCACGGGCATGGTACCGTACATAGTTTGTTGGCCTGCTCGCCGCGAATCTCGACGACTCGACGAGGCGGATTGGTTTCTTTCTGCTCCGAGGCTGTCTCACCCGTGATAACTGACGGCGCCAATATTCGGGCCACGAGCTACCCAGTTCTTATAGCGAAGAAGGGAATCTGCGTTTTTGGTTTGCTTCAAGCCTGCGATTCGGATGCTTCTGCATACTTTATCTGAAGGCTAGTAGACGAGATGGGGGCGGAATGTAACCCGCCCGCCTTGTAGCTGAGTTTACGAGGAACCCTTCAATCAAGCTTAAGGACTTGGCACTTTTGATGATCCCTTGGTTCTTAGTCGCCGTTAGTGGCGTCTAGTGGTCATTTTCGACGGTGAGAGTGTATCACTACATCGTGTTACCTCCGATCCCATGGGAACATCTAGCCAAACACGAGGGTACTTGTTTGGGGGAGCCTCCAGCCTCGGCGATCGACTGCCCAGTCAGGTTGAAGCTGTTAACAACAATGCGATGATACTGTATTCTAGAACGCCACTAGAAAGTTGATGAGCCTCGTCGGCCAATAACCTCACGGCCCTCGCATCAGCCATTAGCCGAACTGTTCCTCCTCAGGATCGTTGGTGGATTGCCTAAAGTTTGGGGCATAGTGAGTAACATCGTCAAGGACCTTCCTAATTGAGGATCGATGAACAGTTGCGGCTTACATCAAAAGTGCCAGACAGGCAAGACAAACCCCGAGAGCAGACTGGTGACCCAGCAGCTCCAACGCGGATCGACTGCCACAGGACTTGACCGTCGTCCCAGACACCCGTTTCTGGAGTGGCCAAATGCCATGCGCCGCGGGTCTGCATGTCGCCTGCCTACTCACTCGGACTAGACGAATTTCGACCTGGCCGGAGCGACATGCAGACCCCCGCTGAACAAACGTACCGCTTTCTTATCTGGCCTGCTCCCTGTACATCGGGAGAGCAGGGATGACCACATCAAGCTGTCTCGTCCGGGGTCCTTTTGCTGTAAGCTCGTGCCACTGTGTGCTCGACGCGAGAACCTCTCCAACGGTCTAACCAGTGGGAGAGGTTTTGCATATCGCTCCAGGTAGATTCATGTCGGCAGGGATAGTCACACAGAGCGAATGCGACGGCGGGTTTGTCGAGACATATAACGACTGCGAGCCCTCTCAAACTCTTTCCAGGTTTTCCCCCCTTCAGCCCGCGTTTTGTGTTTCACGACCTTTCCAGTTGCCCTTTGTCGAGCAATAGGTCCAGCTGTGGAGAAAGCATCCGACAAGCCCACCATGACCGAAGAAAAGGTAGCACCGGCCTCGGCCGTGGCCCCGGCTACCCGCGTCGACAGCGCCGAGCCCCGCCCCTCCTACACCGGCAGCGTCACTGTCCACCCCGATGAGAAGGGCGCAATGGGCGGCGAATGGACGGAACCCATCGTCGATACGAAGGTACCCGAGACTGAGGAGCACAAGGAGGAGGATCTCTACCGCCCGCTGAAGATGGATGCGAATATTCCTCATGAGGAGAACATCCTGACCGTTCGAGCTATTGTTGTTGGCTGTATTTTGGGTTCCTTGGTGAATGCATCCAACTTGTATCTTGGCTTGGTAAGTCCATTTCTCTTTCTGGGCATGAAGTGGTCCTTCCCGCAGCCCTAGACTGGCTGAGAGATCACCATTGCGAACTTAGACAACCGAAATTCGGCGATTTTCCTACAATTGTGAATCGTTCTGACATGAAATTGCTTTGAAGAAAACCGGCTTCACGTTTGTGGCCTCGATGTTTGGTGCCATTTTTGGATACGGAATCTTGAAGATGCTTTCGACAACGAACATTCCAATCCTCGGTGGAACCTTTGGCCCTCAAGAGAACTCCATTGTTCAAGTGAGTATGACCTGAATCCATAATGAGTGGCGGGAACACAAAACCTAACATACTTAGGCTGCTGCCACCGGTGCCGGAGGTATCGCAGGTATCTTCGTTGCAGGTATCCCTGCCATGTACAGGCTCGATCTCATGCCTAGCACGCCGGCTGGTGATATTGGCAAGATCTTCACCTTGACTCTCTGCTGCTCCTTCTTCGGCCTCTTCTTCGTTACGCCGCTGCGCAAGTTTTTCATCATTCGCACTGCCCGCGAGCTCAAGCTTATGTTCCCGACCTCGACCGCCACGGCCCTGACTATTCGATCCATGCACGCTGGTGTCAATGGCGCCCGTGAGGCCGCTATTAAGCTCAAGGCCTTGGGAATTGCCTTTGGAGTCTGTATCGCGCACCGCGTGGCATCGTACTACGCCATCGGAATTCTCTACGACTGGCATAGTAGGTCAACGCTTTTATCAAACGAGACCATTCTTAGACTGACCTTCTCTCAGTCATGTCATGGATCCACATCTGGTCCGGCTACACGAGCTCTGCTATGAACATCGAATCATGGGGATGGTGAGTGAAAATTGAGACTGGTGGTCATGTCAGTGGTGATGTTTGGCTGACACCGGACCGCAGGTACTTTGAGTGGACGACCGCTTTCATTGGCTCCGGTATGCTTATTGGCATGAACTCTGCCTGCTCCATGATGGGAGGAGCCGTTCTTGCCTGGGGAGTCATCGGACCCGTCCTGATTCATTGTAAGCCTCTCGGAGCCTCTAGATACTCTCACTTGCCAGATACTAACAGTCATCAACAGACGGCGAATGCATCGGTATCCAGGCCTCCGAAGACCCCAACTGGTCCGGTCTCTACTCCTTCACCTCCCTGAAGCACATCGGTCAAGGCCCGCCATCCCCCCGTTACTGGCTGCTGGTAAGTCTATACTCGGTTCCCTCACGAGACGAACCATGATCTAACATTACTTAGTGGCCCGGTGTCATGATCATGGTCTGCTCTTCCATGGGTGAGCTTATCGTCCACTGGAAGATCATCTACTTCGGTTTCGCCGCCGGCTGGAGGTCAATCTGCCTCTCCATCCACGAGACCGCGATGAAGAAGGGCAAGCGCATTGAATTCTTCGCGAAGTACGCAGAGGCGGAAGAGAAGCGCGAGGCTGATGCTGTCGAGGACCCCGCGACTCCCGAGCAACAGGTCAAGACCTGGATCTGGGTTGTTGGTCTCTTCGCGTCCATCATCCTGGCCTGCATCGTCATGGGTCTGCAATGGCAGGTCAACGTTGGTGTCACCATTCTTGCCTTGGTCCTTGCCTTCCTGTTCTCTTTCCTCGCCATCCAGATCGGTGGTGTCACTGATCAGACGCCCCTTACTGCTGCTGCCAAAGCCGCTCAGCTTGTCATCGGTGGTACCACCACCGGCGCCGGATACACCGTCCAGCACGCCCAGAAGATCAACCTCATCTCCGCCGGTCTCGCCGCCGGTGCTGCTGACGTTGCTACGGCTCTGACGTCCGATTTCCGTACCGGTTTCTTGCTCGGCACCCCTCCCAACAAGCAGTTCATCGCCCAGGCCATCGGAACCTTCGTCTCTGTCTGGCTCGCGCCCGGCCTGTTCGTTCTGTTTACCACTGCCTACCCTTGCATTACGGACGCCGAGGCCGAGCACTGCCCCTTCCTGGTTCCTTCCGTCAGTGCCTGGGCTGCCGTGGCCGAGGTTGTCACCAGCCCCAACGTCCCCATCCCTCGCTCTTCCGGCATCTTCGCCATTTGCCTCGGTATCTTCTCCATTCTCCAGGTCATCTTCCGTCACTACTACCTGGTTGGACCCCGCGAGAAGTACCAGCAATGGCTTCCTAACTGGGGTGCCATTGCCCTGTCTTTCGTCATTCCTGGTCCCGTCTTCGTCAACGCCGCCTTTGTCGGTGCCATTATTGCCTTCATCTGGCGCCGCTGGAAGCCTGCTTCCTTCGAAATTGTAAGTGCTGATCCGGCTATGTCACGTTGTTCCTTGGAACCAGAAACTAATTATTTGCTAGGCCTGCTATGCTATCGCTGCGGGTATGATCGCTGGAGAGGGTATGGGTGGTGTTATCGGCGCTGCCCTTCAACTCGGCAATGTCTCTAGTGACAGATATGGTACTGGAGGTCTGGCCTGCCCCGATAATGCTTGTTAAACTGGCAAAAGTTGTGGGAAGCAAGTATAGTCTCTGTCGGGTGTGGGACGAGTATGAAGGTCGGAGGCCGTCACCTTTCCAAAGGAGCCTGGTCTTCAGTCGGGTCCTTGCTGTCGGTTGATCATTGAGCCGCTCTGGCTGAGCTGTTGGTAGCCGAGTCCGAGGCCAGCTTCACTCCCATCATCTAGAGCTGCACTGCCCTCTACAAATATGATTGAAGATGTTAGCCATGAGTTATAATATTGTAATACAAAGATGGACCCCTCGAGGTCATGATCATACGCAAAAACCACTGTAGTAAGACCATGAAACAAGGTGTTTCCTCATTCCGACACAACATAGCCCTCCGTCCCGTCATTGCTCCACTCTATATTAACACTATCCCACTCGAGGCCTTCAAGAACGCGAACATTCAACGGCTGAATCTCGAGCTGCTTTCGCACAAACTCCTGCCTTGCCTCAGGAAGCTTGGCAACCAACTCCTTAGGGGGCCCATACAGGTTGCCAAAGCAGTGCACGCCACAGGTACGGCAAAAAGGCGAGCCATTGAATTTGCGGCCAAACTGATAGTCCAGAGCCTGGTCTTTACCGACGATACTTACCTCAGACTGATGAGGATACACACCGATGAAGCCATTCTAGGTCCCATTGCAGATTAGCACATTTTGAACACAATGAGTCGGATCATAAACTCTTCACATACGCGAACACATATACTACAATTATCTTCCTTGATCTGAACTTCGGACAGAGGCTTGCTCTTGAGCGCGATTTGAACGGCACCGCAGTCGCAGCCTCCGGTGTAGAGCGTGAGGTCATCTCCAGGAACGTCGGGCAGCGAACCGCAGAACTCAGCCGGCGCAGATGTAGATGCCTTCTCAACAAGGCTATCTTTTAGTTAGCTGTGTCTAGCCTCCTACCAGTCTTGCTTAACTCACCTCAGAGAGCCTGGATACGGCATATATGCATCCGGGGCACCGGTGGTTACGATGTTTCTCCCCTTAATGAACACATGTTGGAAATCAGAGACAAGCACCCGAAAGTTGATGCCTTTCTTCCCAGCTTGAACGCCGGAAGTGTGTGTTCCGAAGAGAGCAGTGCCGCAGACATTGCAGAACTGTCGTTTTGTTATCAGCCAGTCGTCTCAGACTACATTAGTGATGCTCCTTCTACCAAGGTAAACATACCTCATGCCTCAAAGCCTCGCTATCCGATCCGGTATAAGTTGTCAATGTTTCGCTAGAGCACCCCTTTGTGATTTTCAAGCTATCACCGGCATCATAGATCCAGACATGTCCCTTTTTTACACACAGCGAGCAGTCGCAAATCACCAAGGACGGATGCTCTGGCAATTGAACCTCGTATTGGTTCACGCCACAGTGGCAGTTACCCTGTAAGGTTCTCAGTGCGGTCTCCATGGCGTTCCGACTACAATGGCTATGGGACGCGCGCCGGTGAGTAAAGCTCAGGGTTTCAGGGTGTGCTGAGACATCAGCATAGGTACTCCAAGATAAAGAAGCAAGGTCCTTATGAAATCAGAAAGCAAAGGTTTAGATTCACCATAAGCAGGCAGCAACCGACAACTTCCTGCTTACGTGGTCGGCTATCGGCACAGCTGTTCATGTCCTACTATGCCCGATTCATCGCTTGCCCCGCACTTGCAGGATTGCATCTTATGCATCACGGTGGCACGAGACTCACTTATCTAAGTCGGCGTGAACACTTGAGGTTCAAATGCGATCGAAAGCAGCGCCGCTAGAGCAGTAATTATCACGGAGAATATCAAGGAGTCCTCTGAACCAAATCTTGACCGGGACGCGCCGCGAGGATGGAGAGTCGACTCCGGCTGTGGCGCATGATGTAGGTGCATTTGTGTACAGTGTGGGCGTCAGGGTAAGCCTCGAAGAACTCTGGGGCTGGGTCTAGACCACTGAAGGTCGCTGGTCCCCGCAGCCCCCTCGTAGGGCTAAGTCTAGCATGACGAGCATGAATTCATGCATTTGACGTTTAAGGCTTGATGTAACTGAGTTGGATAGATCTACGAGAATGGCTGGACGAGTCAACGAGAGTGAGTGTGACGATTGAGGAGTTGGTAGCAGGCAGTGTGTTGATTATCATCGAATCGATGGAGCAACTTGGGATGATGTTCCGCATCCCCAACGACGCTGCAGACTGTTGTCTTGATCAGTGAAACGACAAGATGCCTTCACAATTGTCCAGGTGTTTGAGCACTTGAAGGAACCACCTATGCATTTGGTTCATTAATGTAACGAAAGGTTCGAATATGCCATAAAGCAGTGACGGTAGCGCAAGCCGTGGGCTGGCTCCGGCGACCTCCGGGCCCCCGGCGCTTCCCCGGAGAAGTGGGCCTACCCCGGCGTACTTCCGGCAGTTGTTGACAAACGATTGAAGGTACCGCACACGTCACCACCTTGATCAACTTGAAAGTATGCCACCATGATTCTTTGGACGAGTAAGGTTCAATCCACGTGGCTTACGCACCCTTGTGAGTTACATGTGCTCATTGATTCGGGGGACTGACGGGGTTTGGGTGGCTACTGGGTCTGGTTGATCGATGACGTATCAATCCCCGAAGAATCATAGTATCATCATCATATTAATCTCTGACAGCCCTGCGTTTCTATCCAAGGTTTCCTATTGGGAAGCGAAATAATGATCCTTCTACGCGACAAGTACAAATATCAGAGATGTTTTCTTCCAAGCTCTATCGCGCTATACGCCCTCTCTGCAGCAGTTTATCTATTCCCCCCCACACATCAAAACCAGTCCAAGCTAAGAAAGCTTTCTCGACTACCAAAATGTCTACCTTCCCAACCCCGTCCAGTGATCCTCCCAAGAAGGAAATGCAGTATTTCCCCGATATGACTGCGGCCTTGCCGTCCGAGTCTGGAGAGTTTCGCCGTGTTCTTTGGACAGGCTTGTACTCCCAGCTAGTCCTGATGACTGTACCTGTCGATGGTGATATTGGCGAAGAGGTACAAGTTTGACCCCCATTTCTGCCACGAATTTGACTTACAAAGCCTTAGGTTCATACCGTCGATCAAATCCTTACCTTCACATCGGGCAAGGGTCTCGCGCAGGTTGCCGGCACGGAGCAAGAAGTCAAGGCCGGCGATATGGTAATTGTACCGGCAGGAACCAAGCATCAATTCTTGAACAAGGGGCCGACACCATTAATCTTGTACACGGTTTACTCACCAGCTGAGCACAAGTCAACAACGGTTCATAAAACCAAGGAACAGGGCGACAAGGAAGAGGAGGATGGTATCGATGTAGCCCCAGAATGGAGTCGACGTAGCAAGGAGCAGAATGAGAAAGAGGGCTGGGTGAAGGGGGAGTAGGTAACTTACTGAGTGTAGATAATTACGAATGATACTGATGGCTCGACCGTAATTTCCTGGTTTTCACGGCTGCGAAGTCCCTACTTCAAAGCTTGAAGTTGACAGTCCTCTCCGATTACCTAAAAAGGGCCTTATTAAAGTAGCTTGCGCAACCGTAGTGGTATGCTTTCATTGCCGAGATCCGAAAAAGCAAATTCAGCGGCCTCAGAGACCTATATGAGGACAGCACTTATTAAAAAGTCTCTCTTGTGATTGCGATTTGATGCTTGATGTTAGCGAAGCTAACCTTTTGGTATTTTTCTTGAATAGACGTAAGCTTGCTATCCAGGTCATTAAGGTATGCAACGATGCACTGTTAGCGAGCGACTGAAACCTTAGATAGGCAGTTGAAAGATATAACATGCATATGTATCTCTCTCTCGGAGACGATCTGTACTCGCTTTGATGAACGCGCGTGACTTGGAGCGAAAGTGATGGCTTGGCAACTCGGCGGAATTAAGTCTCAGTCGATTCGCAACAGCTATTATATTGAGTTACGAAGCGTCTATCTTCTTGATGACTAATACACCAAGAATTGAAAAGAGCTCAAATTTTCAGGTACAAGGGTCCCTTTAGTGATGCGTGATAGGCGCGCGTTATAGACCTAAGGAAAGTGAAGCCCAGTACGTGAAGACATGATTAAAGGGCGACACCCTTCATATTTTCGAAAAAGGTTGCCGCCTTGACGGACGAACGAGCGGGGAAACAATTTGCCCGACGGCTGACTAGGGATGGTCAAACAATGGCCTACAGACAAAGGTCCAATCAACTTAAAGAAGGTATATTGATCAGTGATTGTATGTCACTGCAGTTAACTGTAGAACCCAGTCTTCAACACTGTGTCAGTTCGGAGAGATAGAATACCCAACTTGTGGACTTCCTGGATGAGGGCTTATGTAGGGGTGAAATTGACTTGAATCTTATGTGGATGGAATTACACTCATATCGCAAGGGCGCTTCATGGCTGCAAGTCACGCTTCTGGCTCAAATCGAATATGCCACCATTGTTGCTTGATTAGTCCGAACTGACTGGGTTCCACCATGTCTTCGATTCATATTGAATTTAGAATATACTGTAATCGCCTGTTTGATCGGAGATTTTATGAGTCCGTGTCGGACATCTTGAAGCAGCATTTTCGTGACAGTGACTGGAAGCGGGCCCGCAAAGACAAGTTTTATATGGACAGCAGCATTAGGCCCTCCGCATATTTAAATAAATGAGCACCACGGCCATTCATATACTTCACTAACATCACATCAATTCATCATTCAAATTTCCAACATCGGATTTCTAACCAATATGAGCCGTACCACATTCCTAGGCACCGGTGCTGGTCGCGGCATTGGCTCAGGACTTGTCGCTAGCCTCTTGCTGAGACCATCCTCAACAAGTGGAAGCTGCAGTCTGAGATCCTTCAAAAGGGCCTGCTAAAGCTCTACTAGACCTGCCAAAGGGCGGAGGTTCCAAAATCATCATCGTCAAGATCGACTCTTCCGTCGAAACCGTCCCCGCGGAAGCCGTTTCGATACTACAGCGGGATCATAGCATCACCGCTTTAGACGTCGTTATCGCGAATGCCGGTATTGCCCATTCGAGTGGCCCTGTCATCAAAACTTCGACTGTTGCAATCAGAGATCGCCTTGCTGTCCACACGATCGGACCTCTCTTGTTGTTCCAGGCAACAGCTCCGCTACTCAGAGCTAGTAAGACTGGTCGTCCGGTCTTCGTAGCCGTTACCTCCATTGGTACGATCTCCGGCATGGAGTCCCTGGAGACTTTACCGCCGGCATTGAGCCCTTACGGAGCCAGCAAAGCTGCGATGAATCGGTTCATTCGGAGATTGCATTTCGAGGAGATGTGGCTCACGAGCTTCCTCTTGCATCCCGGCACCGTCGCCACAGACATGGTGAAATCCGTAATCGACGGTACAGATTTGAAGCTTGGAGATCTCGGAGCCATAACTGTGGGGCAAAGTATTTCAGATCTTGTGCAAAGGGTTGATACCGCGTCGAGGGATGTGAGCGGAACTGTTCAGAATCATGATGGAACTCATTTGCTGTGGTAAATCGAGTTTATGGCCTCGCAATTGACAAAACCGAGCAAGCTCGTACAAGGATCTACATAGGCTAGACTAGAAAGTTTAACCTGTAAGATTATGAAGCCTCTCATGACCAGCGCCCCTCATCAGTTATTCAAGGGAGCCAAACGGCATTTGCGCAGCAACCTCCGTCGTTAAGGTCCAAGTGAGCCACAACATCGGCAGAGGCACCATCATCGCCCATTTCCCAGATCTCCACGAAGCCGGCAGAGCTATCAGTGATAGCAACAAACTGATCGCCGAAATCGCTCGGGGTGACAGCATTTGCGCTTCCACCGCTGGAGGTCGTGGGAGTCAGGAAGTTTTGCTTGTTTACAGATCCGTCGTCGTTGAGAGCCAGGATTGAAATGTACCCGGTGCTGTTGGCATTGCGTGCTCGTGAGGTAGCCCAGAGATATTTTGCGCTGTACGACAGAGCAACCTCATCCGACCAGTACTCGGTATCATTTGCGCCTTGATTAGTAGACTGTTAGCAATATGAAGCTCCTCAAGGATGCAGGAAGCTGTAGTCAGACTCACCGTCAGGAATTAGAGGGTATGAGATATCAGCGTATGCTGGAATACCCGTGCTGGTGTCGATTTTGTAAACTCCAACCTCATTCGTCCCCTCGTGAACGACGTAAAGATAGTTGCCAGTGGGGTGGGCAGTGCCATGCCGAGGATCGGCGCCTTCAACAGGAGCAGTAACATTGGCAACATACGTCAACTCTCCCGTGGTGTTGTCAACAGAGTGTACCCAAATGGCGTTCCCCGTGTCATCAAGTGAGTACATGAATGCTCCTGCTGGATCGAAAGCAGTACCATGAACTCCAGAGGAAGAGGAGTAGTTGTACTCCTGAATCGACTCAACGAGAAGACCATACGAGTCTACCGACATGACGGTTCCACAAGCACCAAATGGTTGACCATAGACTGCATATGGGGAGACGGGGGATGGCCTGACGAAAATCGAGAGTTGCTTGCACGCTCCCTGGGATGTCACAATATTACCGGGAGAGATCTGAAGATCATCGGTGAGGGGATAGCTGACGTAGACGCTACTACCTGTGTCTTCGAAAGCATTTCCATAGATGACCTTCTTGTCATGCTAATTCCGTGCGTGAGTCACTGACTAGTAAAAAGGGTCCGGATTACTAACGCTTAAAGAGATCCATGAGCTGCTCACGTTTACAGACGTGTTGGCAGCTAAAGTTAGCGTGCGGGCAGCATCCTCAAATTCCAAGGTGTACAGGTAAGGTGTACCGAACGTTCCGACTATCAGTTGATGGTTCAGGGCGTTCGTAGCTGGCATTAAACCTGATGCTAAGAGCACCGACTTAAGGAAGCTGGAAAACATAGTAGACGAAGGAGTAGTCAAGGAGGTAGAAGCGACAGATGCTGTTGCTCTTGACAGCTTCCTAGGTTGGACTGCATGCGCGTCTTATACAGTGGCTTGGCAAATTGACCCTTCACCGATCAAGGAAGTCAAATAGATTGACAGTATCCCTACTCTAGTTTGTTTCTGATATGCGTACGCGTTTATTCCATGGCCGGTGGGGAGGCCCTGACGATCCTCTGGGGTCTCGAATCCTAGCTCCTGGTGACGATGCTTGGTTTCACAGCGACCCGATTGGCTGAAGGTCTGGTGTAGGGGGCCAACAGATGCAGACGACAGCGGGAATTTGTGATATTCGCGACGGCCCGGAATGTGGGGGGACGGGGCAAGGATGGCTGTTATGCACAACTGACTGAGAGATGTGCCAGACCCGTATTGCGCAGGTCGGGTTATTGTAGTTATTTTTGTTGAGATTTTAGGGTTGAATGCAACCTCGAGAGCAGTTTATATAGCTCATACCTCCTCCTCTGTCAAGATGTGAAGGTCCACGATCGACATCGCTATCAGGGGGTAGATGATCCGACCACACGACCACGTAAGACTACTTCAATGTCGAGCACCGTTCGCTTTTCTGTTAGCGATGTTTCGAGAGAAACATCCACGACGCAAGATTCATAATGGCCTGAGAAGTTCTCGCATAGATCAACTGCAGCGGGAGAATACAGTGGGTACCTGACTGAGTAAGGTATGATGATCTGACGAAGCCGGTATCTGAAGCGTTCACAATCCCATGCAGAGTCATCACCCAGACGACCACCCGTATCAGCTTGCTGCTGTAAAAAAACTTAGACGCGGTAGAAGTCTTGGAAAGACATCGGCATAATGAGCCTGGACACAGAGGATCCGAAAGACGGACGCGTGTAAGCGACAATACGATCGCGCTGCGCAATGACTTCAAATCCTGGCCAAGTTGCTCGCGGCACTGCATTAGCATCACAAGGCTAGCCGTTAATACTAATATACTTGATGGACCTGTTCTATAATTTTTAGGCTGTGAGATATCACATAAATATGCTCGAGGTTCATCAAAGATTGTGAGTTCGGATTACGTTTAGCTTAGCACACCAATAAGCAATGGTTACTACAGAACTACACACCGACTATGTCTACCGTCTCCAACAATGGTATCATTATTCATCTGAAAATCAAAGATTTGCCCCGAAGCCGTGCATCACTCCTACTAACCCTTTTCCTCATGTCCCGCATGCAGAGTTGATAATAGTCCTGAAAGGTTGCCACGAATCGAATGCCTGAGAACGTGGGCTCATTTACTGGTTGGGTTTCTCTGATATTTTGAACGATGGTATTAAACAGACCAAACTAGATCGCTCTAATTATGACTATAGTGACTTACCAGCCCCGGCACTAAGGCACAGTATCTCTTTTATTCGACTTTTGATATCACTCTGGGGAGTAGAAGACTAAAACCTCATTCACAGGCAGCATTACATGGTATATCCTGCTCAAAGCTTCCCGTCCATATAATCTGCGTACAAACTTGGCAGGAAAGAAGCCAAATTAGTGAACTCGGTCTGATCATGAATGAAATGCTCATAGGCAATGTTGTCTCCAGCCATGCGATGCTTGAAACCCAGCGCGCCAGCAAGGTAGTCGATCCCAACCTTCATACCCATCACTTTGTAGTGAATGCCCCCACCAAGCCAATACCGACTTCGCAGTTCGAGACCATCCTCAGTCTTGCGCCAGAGGTGCAGGAAATCCCCAATTTTGAGGTTTGAAACCAGGCCATCGCGCAATTCCGCACAAACAGCGGCCTCGTAACCCGCAGCTTTGAGCTCCTCCCACGGCAGGCCGTACTGCGCCGGGTCGACAAAGTGGATATTCACAGTCATCTTGGTTGCACCGATAAACTCCGTTACACGGTGCGTGGAGCCGAGCCATTTTTGCGTGTGAGAGAGGTCAGTGCGATGTAGCCGGTCCGCGTAAGTCGATCGCGCGGCCAGGTGGTCGTACGGGAACCACAGGGCATAGCGCTCGGGCTCGACGCTGTGCCACCAGAACCACCAGCGGACCATGTCTCCTGTCGATCCAGGGAAACGAGTCCGTGACGTGACGTACGCTGTCCCGTCGGGGAGGGAACGCCATCCATTCTCGTGAGCGTGGTAGCCCGGTTCGAGCAGGCGGCGCGATTCTGTGGTTGGGAGAATGCCCTCTACTGGCATTGGCTCGCGGATATACTGCGGAATGTCGGCGTAGAGGTAGAGATCTTTGTTGCAGTATTTCGCGTATAGCTTGCTCTTCATCCGGTTCTCATTGTAAGTGAAAGCTTTTTGTGTTTCGAGCGGATAGTACGTAAGAGGAATTTTCGCTGGGTAGCCATCTTTGTCGGGATTCTGACTTTGGTTCGTTGTCGTTGTATTTGGTGTTCGGGTGTCATTCCTACTCGGCAACGTTCCCGTCACTAATTGGCCTCTTAGTGCGGCGATCCGCGCCGCGGACCTTTGACGCAGAGATCCAGATCCAGACTCCATTATGCTACTTTTGCACCGTCTTTTGGGCTTTGGTGTCGAGTAGAGGAGAGAAATAAAGACGGGCAAGGCAGTACGACGTTTATGGCGTTGAGCTTATTATTAACCGCCAGGGCCGTGGAGGCTTGTGCGGAGATCCCCCAGGTTTGACTTCCATCTGAAGTGCGCCCCTTGACCTCGGCTCCGTTCACGTGTTGCTGAAACCCCGTAATTGTACGAACGACCTACCTATCGGATTGGATCTTTCGGACTTTCACAGCCTTGTACAAGAAAGCATGCCACTCATCAATTACCTTCGGGATTCGGAGCCAGTAGAAGTAGGGAAACATTGCTCATCATCAAAGACTGTGACTTTTCTTTGTTCAGATTCTAGGGGTAGGTCCAGAACCAGTGGAGAATCTTGTTGGGAAGACCGATGCGTTGTATAGGTTTACAAGAACTCCAGTGGCATAATTGAGCCGAACCATTCTGGACCTTTCGTAGCTTGCCTTGATGCTTGCTCTAATTATCCTACCTGTCACCTACTTGCTTTCTTGGACGATGATCATGTGACAGTCTTATCGTATTCTATTGAGCACAGTAATGCCAAAGACTTAAGGATCTGAAGAAGTTGCAACAATTCCGAGGCTTTTGATTAGTTGTTTATCCTGAACTGATGGCGCAATGAAGTAGGTGCACAGCTCACACCGTGACCTTCATCCGTTACTGTTGTCAAGATAACAGTTGAGGTAATTGGTGGAAGACGCCTCTGTCGTCAGCGGCTGGTGAAATTTATGGTATCTTCCGGTGCTGCTGCCGCACTAACTAGGCGCGGAACAATCCATCCTACGTGCGGGCCATTGCTTCAGTCACATACCTAAGCATAAGAAAGTTAACAACACCATACTTCTCACCACGCCTCAGCCATTCTCAGGAGATTCTCCAATAAACCATCATTCTGGACCTTCATTATTGTTGACCTGAGCTGCAACGCAAACCATGGCTGCTGCAAAACTCCTGAAAGCTCCTAATGTGTTCGCCACGTTCATCCGGGGCGGCACTAGCAAAGCACTCTTTTTCCATGCAAAGGACCTTCCCAAATCAGGAACAGCCAGAGATGAGTTTCTCATACGTGTCATGGGATCGCCTGATCCCGGCCAAATTGACGGAATGGGCGGTGGACGCATCGTAACCTCAAAAGTTGCCATCGTCCAGCCTTCGGAAAGACCTGATGCAGACGTTGACTACACATTTGCTCAAGTCGGTCTCGATGAAGCAACCGTTTCATACGGTGCTAATTGTGGGAATATTTCGGCTGGTGTTGGTCCTTTCGCAATCAATGAGGGACTGTTAAGAACAGACAATTGGCAGAATCGCAAGAGAGTGGTCAAAATCTACAACACCGGGACAAGCGCAATTTTGATTGCCCATGTTCCGATTGATGATTCAAATGGGCGAGCATTAGAGAAGGGTGACTATTCGATATCTGGATGCCCCGGGACCGGTGCTCCTATTTTAATGGACTATTCACAGGTAGGTTTGGTCGTAGAGCCAGATTCAACTTGAACGTGGCGATGCTGAATCCAGCCGCAGACAGCAACACCTGAACGAATGCTACCCACTGGCAACCCGATAGATACACTCAAATGCACATTTGGCACAGTCGAAGCTACGTACTGCGAAGTTGGCAATGCTATCGCGTTTATCGCTGCGCAAGACCTCGGCATCCAAGGCAACGAGACAGTGAGCGCCATTGACAGCAATTCTGAGCTCATCGCTCGCGTCCGAGAAGTTAGAGGACGGATATCTGAGAAGCTTGGCAAATGCAAAGCCTGGAATCAGGTTGATGAACAGTCCCCGATGCTTCCGATGGTTGCCTTGGTCTCAAAGCCAACGTCGGAAGAGGGACATATTCAAGCGCGCCTGTTTCTTGATAATCATTGTCACCCAAGTATGGCCGGAACAGGAGGGGTTTGTACGACTGCTGCCAGCCGGATCGAAGGTTCAGTCCTCAATCGTCTGTTGAGTCCTGCCACATTAGCCTGTGGCACTCTCAAAATCCAACATCCCGCGGGCCATCTCCCAATGTCTGTTAAAACCATAGCTGCGGGACAAGGGGAAACGTTGCCTGCTTTCAGCGTTTTGGGTTTCGTCCGCACTGCGAGATATATCTTCCAGGGGCAACTATTTGTTCCCAGCGATATCTAGGAGGCGTACCCTTTACCCTGTTCATGGCTTTGAAACAATTTCACGCTAAGTATATCATCTACGTTTAAGATTTAGATGGCCGGGTGGATTCAGACTCTTTGAGAAGATGCAAACTATGGCGATCCTGTGCAACGCTCGTGTGTCAGCATTGAATATGAAGCATTTGAGTACTTGAGAGCCATTCAGACATACAACATATCCACAAAACCACCAGTGACGAGGAGTTCGATTCCCCAAGGTAAGTACTTATGCATGAATTAACAACACGACAAATTGACAGCTCCTTAGCAAGTAGTAAGATAGGAGTAATTTTCTTGTGACGGTATTCATTCCATCGTACCTTAACCTGCTTCGACTGCCCAAAGAAAGTAAAGTGAGGCAAAGACGCATGCTTGAGGCTGCTCAATCGCAACGGAAGCACTGACAGCTTCATTTTGTCGGCTGCCGGCATGAACCGCACGCTGGTCAGTTGAAGCTAGGGAGGCGAAACTAATGGACCCCAGGGGGTAGCTTTCCGGTATTCCGACATTCTGCCATGGAAGTGTTTGGTGAGATTATATGACCCGGAACATGTTTTCTTTGACACCTCTTTTCAATCCTTCGGCCTTTCCGCCTTCGTACTCAACCCCAGATGCGCCGCCGTCTCCTGAGATGCCCTCGAGCTTCAATCGCAGCTCCTCATCCTGCTCTGCTATAGTCTTCTTCCTCTTTTCCGACTGTGCATTGGCATTGGCGGGCGATTTCGTTTCTACTGTATCTTTACGAGCGGTCGTCTTGGAAGTTGCGGTGTGTGGCGAGACGGTACTGAGACGCGTTGAGAGATTGAGCGCGTTTGTTTTACCCGACGCGGCCGACACGCGTCTTGATGTCGGAGTGAGCAATCTCAGCGGCGACTTGGTGATGATTTTCTGTAGCATTTGATACTTGTGGTTGAACCGTCTGGGGATAGCGAAGTTGGTGAGGTCAGAATTCAACAAAGGATGCAGGTGTACATTTTCGTCGTCTTTCGTCACGCTTGTTTCACAGATGGCCCATGCTTCCCCCAGTGGCGGAATAGCTAGCGAGAGACCCCGGATGAAAACGGTCACGTAGATTGAGAATGGGTGAGCCAGCAGTTTATCACAATTTACATGTCATATGGCATGTTCACACCTGATCGTTTTGGGGAGCTCCTCAGGAGATGTATATTTGGATGTCCTCCTGGGTCCTCATGCTCCATCAGTCCAAACAACAGCCATTGTCAGAGCGGAGAGATTTCTTATGTAATGCGCTCAGAGGATCACCTAGGCACAAGACTTGTCTCCTTCATTCATCCTCCGTACCACGCAATCAACTTAAATGGACTCTGAAGGTCTAGGCGAAGGGGATTTTCATGGAAAATGAGTGATACGATTTATACAGGGCATGCATCTTCATGAATTTGGTGAAGCTCATGAGCTACCTATACGTCGTTGCGTGAAGGGGCAGCCTCTCTTCGCGCCGGTGAAGATCACAGGCCCTTCCGGCGGCTTTACAGTTGAGATCTGCACAGGGATGCGATCCAAAATTTCAGGTCTCTCATCGAAGGGAAACATCGCCTTCTGACAAGAGGAAACGTTCAGCTACCTACACCACAATGCAATGTGTGTGACGTAACATATCCGTCCTCGGAGCCGAACATAATCTCTCCTAAGCCTTTAGTTGGAGCACACGGCGCCGCAGCAGCAGTGGCTGTGCCGCTCTGCCTTACTAACCGACTCCATCAAGGCTTCTCCGAGACAAGGTTGCACATCCTTCGCGACGACACCGCCAATGACCTAAAAGGCCTGTAAATCATGGCCCATTTTAGAGCCCGAATTTAGGTGCCTAGTCAGCTTCCAGAACAAGACCCCTTATCACAGGGCGCACCGTTCTCCTTGGCTGCAGCGTGTGACAACACCTGAGCTGGGCGTGGCCTCATTCCGAGCTCTGCTCAGCCACTTATGGTTGTTCCTTACGTTGGCGAATATGTTACAATCGCTTGCAGTGGAGAGAAAGGAGGAGCGCATGAGTGCCTTATTTGAGGGTGATACACCCCACGCCGAGGCACGCCCAACACGAAGTCTTTGACTACACAGCATTCACCTCTTAACTTCGTTTTTCAGTCACAGCTGGGACTGCACCATACTAGCGACAACCAAAACAACCCAACCAGCAATCGCAACTCACACACATCGCTCAAAATGACAACAAAACCCTCCATGCTTGATGTTGACGTGGAACCGCCAACTTATGACAACACCGTCAGCGACTCAAGGGCACAGCTCAGCTGTGGAGAAACACCAACCTTGTTCCTGGATAAAACGACAATCTTCGCCCATACCTCACCACCTCGCGCGCTCTATGAGCTGAGCAACGTTGTGACTGACGCAAAGTCATTGGTGTATGGAGTTCAAAAAGTGGTTTACAGAGTCTCTTCAGAAGCTGGCAGCGACAAAGTGAGAACCAGATTGGACCACATCTACGACTTCACACAGGACCCACTCAAGGGACTCGAAAGCTTCAGTATGCAGCTGAACGATGTCACGGTTATTCAGGGTCAGATGAGCTCTAAGAGAACATATAAGGAAGTCTACCTGATGCCCGGCGTCTCTGGGTGGAAGGTAAAAGATCACTTCAAGGCCGGCGATAGCGCGGTGCACCAGATGAAGCACCAAGATGAGATCCACTGGAAAAACATGAAGGGAGAAGTTGTCGCTATTGAGTCAGTCGCAAAGAGAGACAAGGAAAAGAAACTATTAAGCATGCCCCAGTTGGATGTCATACTCCCTATGGACCACAAGGAGTTGGACCTGTTGGTAACAAGCTGGATGGCGAGGCTCTGGAGGCAGTCAGCTGATGAAACCAAGGACCCCATGACCTGGAAAGACTGTAAGTGTTCTGATCCCCAGCATTATCCATCGCTTGGAATTTTTGCACAATCACATACTGATTTCTGCATGCACACAGTCAAGGAGATTTCCAAGATCGCCCTTAGCAGAAACAAGCTCGGAAACACTTGGGCGTTAGGTGGAGTCTGAGGCTTGTTCTTGTAGGGCAGATTGGATAACTAAAGTACCTGAAGTAGTTGCTTACGTAGCGATGTTAGTGGATAGGCCAGGAGCGGCTAAAGATACCCTTGATTTCGAGCACAGCGAGGAAGTAACAGGGAAAGACTTATCATAATGATGGATTGTTTCTAGGAATTTGATATTGAAGGGTGCCTAACTCATCATCCAGAATGATAAACCTCAGGGTAACAACGGATCTCAAGCCTGGATCTTACACCTGATCGTGACTGTTGTCCCCCAATCGTCGACTTGGCATCGTTTCTCCTCGCACCCGGTTGTAGTTTCAATTCCAGACTTGATAGTTCCTTGCGGGCGCGCCACAATCGACCTTATAGGCAGAGAGATGAAGTGAGGTCCTGAAGTTATTTAAGGTCTCGTGCAGTGCTTGAGTTCAAATTTACCCAAGTTGTTGCACCTCAAGCGTCGCTTTAAGGCCGGCATGGTTAGCAAGGATCCCGCTCCACATTGGGTGGTAAGGTGAATCAAATAAGGAAACTTATGCTAGCTATGATGATATATGGACATGCATCCATAAAGCACGCATCAGTCGGATATCGTATTCCTCACGACGTGCCTAGTCTCCCAGCAAGACCTCAAACAAGAAAGAATCCCTGATGGCAGCCACTAAGCACGTGGCCTGACAGTGCGGGGCATTGGGAAGCGCTCAATGCAGTTGGTGATCATACGACGACCCGACTGACATTATTTCCGCAGTGATACCGACACACTTTCGGTACCGGGAACTTTGGGACGACAAAGTAACGCCACAAGAGGAGAAAGCACAGTACGTCGTCACTTACCGGGCTTCCGTTCGTCCAGCCTCCAACTACATAAGTGCGACTCTCCATCTTCAAGCTTCCGCTTCATGTTCCCACCCATCACTTTGACTACCATAAGTAATAATTCTTTCCGAACAAAACTCGATAGCAACACTTACACCTACCACCATGAGAGCTGCAAGATATTACGGCAAGGAAGATATCAGGATCGAACAGGTTCCAGAGCCACCATGTGGCCCTAATCAGATCAAAGTGAAATTTCCCCAGTGTATCCTCCTAAGTACATAGTCCGCCCGGCATCTACCCCGCGCGGGGAAGATGGAGGGACTGTAACATTACTTTTGGAGTTCAGACTTGACACTGACACGGACTTCACCTTTCTCCAGATTGCCCCGGCATTCGTCGGTATCTGCGGGACTGATCTCCATGAATACCTCGGCGGCCCTAACTTCTGCCCCGCCTCGAGACATCCGGTCACAGGCGACCAGATCCCCGTGACGCTCGGCCATGAATTCTCTGGCATCATCAAGGAGATAGGCTCAGAAGTCAAGCAGGAGCATTTCAAAATCGGCCTCCCTTGCGCCGTGCAGCCTACGATCTACTGCGGTAAGTGTGCTGCTTGCAAGGCTGGTGCCGAGAATGCGTGCCACACAGGCGGATTCATCGGACTGAGCGGCTGGGGTGGTGGCCTGAGCGAGGCGGTGTCGGTGCCCGCGGATCAGGTCTTCCCTTTGCCCGAGGGCATTCCTCTCGAGCTGGGCGCCTTGGTGGAGCCGCTTTCGGTAGCTTGGCATGCCGTCTCTGCCACTACCGTCACGTCAGAATCCAATGTTTTGGTGATGGGAGGCGGTCCGATCGGGCTGGCCGCTGTACTGTGTTTGAAGGCGAAGGGGGTTTCGAATATCATGGTAGCGGAGATTGCCACCGCCAGGCAAAATTTCGCAAAGGAGTTTGGAGCAGCACACATCATTGATCCCAAGAGCCAAGATGTTATGGAGGAGGTGATGAAGATTACTGGTGGTATTGGCGCTGATGTCACACTTGACTGCGCAGGTGTACCGGCTAGGTGTGTAGTCCGTCTATTTTTCTTGCAGTTCTTTTGCTAACACTTGGAATAGTGTCAAAGCTGCGTGCATGGCCGTCAAGACACGCGGCACGGTCATCAATGTTGCGATCTGGGAGAAGGAAATTCCCTTCAACCCAAATTGGGTAACGTGGAGAGAAAGCTCGTATAAGTCTGTACTTGGATATCAGAAGAAGGATTATCAGGCCGTGATTGAGAACTTGAAAACAGGTAAGGAGTCTCGAATATTCCGTTTACACGAACCGCTACTTACTTATAGGTCGTTAGGAGCCCTCAAGCCTGCCTCCATGATCACGAGGAAGATTCCTTTGGACGATCTTGTAGAACATGGTATCAAGGCATTGATCACGGATAAGGACAACCAAGTCAAGGTTTTGGTTGATGTTGGTGCTTCTCTATGAGATATGATGACACGGCGTTGTGAGCTGAGTTTGTAGGAAGAGCCATCAGACGGTCCGCCTTGAATGGGACAGGCCTCGAAGGAGGGAATTTCAACAATGTATTTTTGCTATGCTTGTACTACGTATTTGTATCGTATGAATCGATGAAAACCAAATCCATGTTATGGGTCCTACTCGGGTCTCTATTTCTTGCAGAAACAGCCACACTTGCCTTCAGCCTCGTTCACACTCTGAAGCACAAAACCAGCTCCGCACTTTCCTTCATGTCAGCACATGTTACGCGACAACTTTACTGTGCATCTTCTCAGGTGAGCAAATCACTTACCTCACGCGGACAAGCCGTCGTGCAAACTCCCTCGATGCCTCTGCACGCAGCGTTTGAGAGCTGTCGGGAATGTTAGAAAGTTGAATCATTTTCTAGGGTACCCATAAGCTTACGTTATTGTTGGCAAAGGCTCTGCAGTAGGACTTCTGGGCAGCTGCCTGACCAACAAGAGCCATGGAAAGAATCACTGAGAGAATGGTTGGCAATTGCATTTTGAACTAAGGTTTCGCGGGGTATGATGCTGTCGAGTATCTGTTAAGAAGAGACGTAATGTGACTTGAAGATGTGAAAAATATCAAAGTTCTCTGGTTCAGTAATTCGAGAAATTGGACCGCATTTATAGAAGTCCGTGCTAAATTCGAATTATAGTCGGCACAAACTCTGGTCATTTGGTGCGTCAGCGGCTGCGGCGTATGAGGAAGTTCGATGTAGATTGCATTCTCGAACCTTGAACGGCATTCTTCTCAAGCATCAGGGGCTGAACCCAAGAGTTTCTGGCTTTTAGAGTTTGTAAAGGGGTGCACCGAAGAAGCGAGTGGAACCACTCAACCCCTAAATATTTGTCAAGTTGATGACCTGAACATGCCCTGCTCCTGGCGCGACTCAGGAGCAGCGCGTGACTTCAGGTTTCCCCCTAGGTTTTTCCGCAGTCAAGAGCTCCTCAAGTGCTTCCACGAACACAACCCGAATTTGAACTGTTGCCTCATCGATGAGCTATCAAACTGATGTTTTCCGCCCCTTGACGTTGAAGATGCGATGTAAAGTAGTAGAAAACTTAGGCAACTCCATCTGTCCGAACTGGAGAGCATTGGCTTACGTGACTTGCATATCACTCTTCTACAATTCTTCTTCCACAATTCTCACAAATAAAGAGGAAGGGGGACAACATAGCGATCCGATAATGCTACGGGTTGCAGCCCATGAAGACCAGTGTTCCTACTGTCTATCGCCCATGTGTTCAACAGATCATCAGAAAGAGCTGAAACAAAGAACTCTCGCCAGAGAATGTCATCTTCATCTCTGTCTCATTCACTAGAGGGGCTAATATCTCGATGCCGAGGTCTGTGGACAACAAACCTTGTGATGAGGATTTGTCCGAGGAAACAAGTTCTTTGCGCGATATGCACCCCATAGTATCTCCGATGACAGTCGAGCGCCCATTTGTAGGAATACGCTATCATTGTTTGCTCCCACCGCAGTGGATAGGATCCTTATCTCCAACATATTTGCGGAAAAAGATGAAAAACTATTGAATGGCCGTTGTCACATCATTCCATTCCGCTTCCAATTCTTCTTGTTCCGGCCTGACACATCTCTTCTGCTGTTTTTGACAATCCTCGAGGGCAGTGTACCAGTCTTCAAGTTAGTCTTGGAAGATTGTAGATACGCCTCAAAAACGATACCTAATACTGAACTCCCGCCAAATCGCCCTGCCGCGACGTAATCCGCCGTGATGAAGTGGGTTTAGAAAGTCGTCGACTACGCGCAAGTCCAGGCCGACATCTCTTCAGGACACCCAACACAATTGAACACGTCATTCTACTCCGATATTGACGCCCCCGATCTGCGAAAATCATCCAACTCGCCTTGCTCAGATAAAAGATGGTTAACACTTATCCTCCAATCGCGCGACCTGTCGCCTTCCGCAGTACAGCAAGTCTCACTCACTGATTCACAAACACGACTCTTGCTCTAAGCATGCAATGCTTCATTTCAGATCGGCCGTGTTAACCTAACACTTGCGGAACACTTGGCCGACGAGATAGCTCCCGCTTTCTCTCATCTCCGTTTCTTGCCTGGAGGCTTATTCGTCCGCCTTGATGACTGTTCGCCCAAAGCTGGAGCCCAAATCATTCCAGACAGAAAGTTCTTACATACCATCGACAAGTTTATTCTTCGCATTGTCATCTCCGGCCATTTCCAAGCTGCTCTCGAGGTATGCGAAAAAAGTCAGAGGTCGATCGAGCTTTTCTTCTTGCCATTCGATATACGAATGACAGCTGAGCGGGAGGACCGGGGTTTCTGCCGACCAAAGAATGTAGGATCACGGCAACCAGTCAGTATCATTGGCACAAGCCATGGAAGTTTTCCAAACGCTCTGGCCTCGAACAAGTCCAGCATATTGAGATCATTTATGAAGGATCACGGATCATCAGAGATTCCATCATAGAAATATTGGAACTAAAGGATCCCATGGACAGTCTACTTAAAGACCAGTGATTGTCATTTGATGTTCTTTATGATGAGACTACTCGGAGAATTGAATTGGTTAAGCTTAACTCATTTGGAAGCAGAAGTCCGTGTGGATCTTGCCTATTTCAATGGGTTCGCGATGGGAAGATTCTCTATGGTGAGCCCGACAAGGATGTTGTTGAGTTCTGAATACACAATGATGGTAAAATACTTAGTTCAACATGAATTGTCTCAACGAAAGGTGACTTGGTTTAAATATGAGGCGGTTTAGATACCCACGAGACATTTCTCAACTTGAATCTCACATAGTATCCATACTCATGACATGGGATATCGCTGTTGTACAAGTTTCATCCTATATCTACGATAGAAAGAATTAGGGCCTGACCTGGGGCGATAGTTACGGTCTCCAGGTTTTGTATTTCTAGCAGTACAACAAATCAAGAATCGTTGTTTGATCGAAGTGCTGAGCCACAATCGTGTCTCAAGAAGCTGGGAGATTGTACCAAATGATACCCGTCGAACGTGAGAAGTTCTCTGGGAAAGTGGTCGACTCGCTGGGAAGCCTCGCAATCATCGTCAATTTAATAGAGAATGCGACCAAGGCTATCCCGATGCCGTCTCTTTCTCGCAGGACCAGATGTTCATTATCCGGACCCAGGAACTTGAAGCTGAAACCACCGAACTCAAGAAGGATCTCGGCCTGAGCGAGTTTGCCGTTCCCATTATCAAGCTCAAAGAGCGAGGCAAAACAGAAGGGGCTTTGAAGTGTCTCGACGAATTTCTTGTTGCTAAGGCAGGTGCTAATATGATCGACCTGTACAGTGATATATGGGATGACTGCGGGTCCTACTTTGGCGAGCAGCACGAAGACGCCAAGGTCAAAGGGAAGATGGATTGGATACCTCTACCAATCGAAGCGCCCAAGACTAGGGAGGAGGCCATTAGGCTCCGCCGAATTTGGGCAGAGGAGAACGCTAAAGACCCGACTGAGCCTATGAAGCTCTATGATATCATTCGGAGCAACAAGGATGCTACTGAACTAGACAAGACCGGATTCTATCTCTCGATTCCAGTCGACTCGCTTGCGTTTGAAACCTTCACGAAGCTCTTTGGGAACTCCAAACCCGGGAAGCGGATCATATGGGAAGATTTAGAGTACTCGCTGGAATGAATCGGGTTCTCGTCGAGGTCTATATACGGGATCTGTACTTCCTTCACTGCAGACGAGGCAACTGCAGAGCTGCCGCTTACTATCAAACACCCCTACAAGTCGGAAATCTCTGTTCGAACGCCTGTAATACTTGCCCGGAGATTGCTAAAGGCTTACGGGTGGAATGCGAGCGCATTTCAGTTGGTTTGATGTATAAGTGGCTCTTTAGGTATCATTATATTACAGATTGAACTATGTCAGAATACATTCGACAAGTCAACTTCGGTTAGGGGTCGTAAAACATCGTGAAAATAGAGTTGCGTCTTCTCTATAGCTTTGTGAATATTTAGCAGCTGTTCCTTCGGTATTTCCCGTATCACGATGGTTTAGGATTCTCTTTCATTCCATGCGTAACACCGCTGCTTTTGGATCAGCTTCGCTTAGGCTATAACTACAATACTCTCAGCTGTTTGTAAGCCCATGGTATTCGACACTGTTCAGCTTGAATGATACGCCGTGGCCCGAGTCCCATAGTGTTTCAATGAGACTCGTGACGGGGCAGGTGATAGCTATGCACGCATCCGCAGAATTTCGTATTAACTTGGTGTAAGATGTCACCATGTCATTTTGCACTGCTTACGTGTGGAGCTTGCTATCTCAACGCCACATAAGTTGATTTATGTTTGAAACAGTATCACTCGACACCAGCATGAATCAAAAACCAAACCGGGTTCTCTGCAAACCCTGGCCTAGGTAATTTTACTCCCGTGTGTTGACTTCCGCTGTCAGGCAATCTCCCCATTCCCCGGCCAAATTCATCTATCCCACCATTGGTGTCGCACAAGTTGTCAAGAACCTACTCGATTCGACACTCATCATGTCCTCAATCAACTTGACGAAGCTAGCTGGGGTGACTGACGCCGCGGCTGGAGATAATAACCTCAACTAACCCTGCACATCGTGGGTACTGAGCCAACTTCACTACGCCCCCAAAGTTGACCTTTCTGTCTAATTAAGGTACTCGAGCAATCGTTCGCCGAAGGTCATGAGCGTGTGAAGCCCAACCCTGCATCAGGCACAGAAGCCGACACCCAAACTCAAATGACTTGGAACATGACCGGGCTGCGTTTCCTATCCAAGCACATACGACCATACCCACTGGAAAATTCGGGATCCCGTCCGCTCTCCCATAGACAAGCCAATGAGGGCCGGATTAGTAGTTGAGTCGGTGACGATCAGCGAATACCTGGTGTTGTATGTTTTTGGATTTTGTCCCACTGGTTTCTTTGTATGGCACTTATTTACCTGCCCACCGTAGCCCGCGATTGCAAGTGTTCGAATGGGCGACGCATGGTTTATTGGTTTTAATTATGGATAAGAGATCTTTTTGCTCTTAGTTTTTAGAGAAAGAGGTAAAGGTGTATGAAGGTGATAGTGGATCCTCCAGTAACCATAATCGACTGATGGAGCCACCGTGCATTCTATTCTTCGCCTATTCTAGCTAGTTCGGGAAAGAGGATTCCGATGACTGCCCATTTTCGAGTTAAAGTTCAAATCTTTCCGATTCCTGTTTAAACGGACGTTTTCTTGTCTGTTTCCATTTCTAATGGATGGCTTTGCCAGGTGAAAGACAAGGTGGTGGACACCTCTCTGAGGTTTCGCAACACGAATACACTACAGGAACTCAACTTAGATTGTGACACTCACATCGCAGGATCGGTCACACCGATAAGAACCCCGCGCTCTCCACAGACGCCAGTCCCAGCGAGTTCAACTGTATAAGAATGTTGTTCCCAGAATCTCAGTTTATGGTGGTTATGAAGCCATTTAGACTTGAAGAGCCCTTTCCAACATAGCACCGCTCATCAAAAGAAGCATATCACACAAGATCCAGTTGACGGTATATTCAGTCTCAATCCCAAATATACCCTAATCATATGGGCTTGTAGCTAACATATCCAGCAACACATATTCATGCATCATGAAGCCATCAGTCGTCTTCTCAGTTCTAGCCTTGGTTCTGGCCAGTTAAGCTTGTGATACGTACAAGTACTGTCACTGCACCAACGCTGATGGAACACCAAATAGCGACGCCACGCTTACCGTATGTGGTAACGACCCATATATTTACGACAACGGATATGCCGAGTGTAACCACTACGATAACTACTTCTGGGTCGTCAAAGCCATCAACAATTGCGATTTTAGAAAAGCATGCAACAAGAATGGCGCACCTGGAGACTCTAGTTGTAGAGCTAGGGTTGGAGTTTTCAGCGCATAGGATGGTACTTGGTCCTCCATCCCACGATGGCGCTTGAGCTCTATGGTAGTGCAGCCAAGAACCACAGCCGAATTTCCAAGAGCCCTCGAGATATGCAGCTTGATGATCTTCGTTCTTACCCAATTGTTCTTGAGAAATTGACGAGGAACTCATATGGTGTGAATGAACATGGGTTTCATACTTTGTTTGCATTGCTTTCTACGTAAGATTTATCATGCGTTCCCCATTCACTTAGACGCAATTTTGTTTATTCATTAGGTCGAATTACAATCGGTTACTAGAAGAAAACATTACTTTCGAAATAACGCATATTCACATGTTTCATTGCTAGACACACTACGTGTTGTCCATCCCTCTTCGCAGGAGATGGCTGACCAAAAGTCGAATTTAAGACTGAAGAGATTTTGTCTCTGCTTCTATCTCTAATTGCCTCAAAGAACCATTCAAGTTCTCTTCCGTCTCATGATAATGATGGTGATGATGATGGTAGTGGTGGTGATAATGATGGTGGTGGTGTACAACTTGTTGTGGTGGTTCTACATCTATAGGAGGACCCGTCGGCTGACTTGGCAGGTTGCCATCAGAGAAGGCGTAGAGGTACTGAGATGGGGATATCCTTGAGCAGATTGGATCTGGTGAGAGAGCTGGGGTCTCCAAAGTGATATTTGGAACCGAGAACGATGTCTCTAAGTTGCGCACTGCAGAAGACTGATTTGTTTGCGGTATCTCTGTATCAAGTTTGTTCGATCTCCATTCTTTAGGAGTGCTGTTGTGACTGTTTGAGGTGGGTTCCCTCAGAGACTGGTGCAGCGGCTCGGATAGGTGGCCAAGATCCAAGCTTGGCGGAAGATTTGAGCTGAGTTGGGACTGGTGTAGGATTGAATTGTAAGACACTGCATCGCCGACGAAGCGAAAGTCGTCCGTATCTAGCCCGGTGCTCATTTCCACCATAGATGTGACTATACCATTGATATCGATGACGTTTCTGATGTCGGCATCAGCTTCAGTTGCTACTAGGAGCGAGTTTGAGGAGGGTTCGGGTGCATCAAATGCCGTGGCATCGCCACGCTTCCTTGTGGCAGGCGACCGTGGGGAGGGTGTTCCTGTAGTCAGAGGCCTTTTGGATGTTTTTGAAAGTGCTCGCCATCTGTTACGACAGGTGAGAGGTGGCCGACCTGGCAGCTTTGCCGATAAAGCAGACCACCGGTGACCCAGCGTCCGAACACCTTCTCGTAGAACTTCATCTTCTTGTGGCGACCATCCACTAAGGCGGTCTTTGACTTTTGGACTCAAGATATCCATGTATCTTTTCGAACATTGGTCATCCTTCCTCCCAGGTATCAGGAGGGCTTCGCAAGCAAAGAGACCGGTATCAGTGAGTGAGATAATACATGGGTATCACAGGATTCTAGCATACCGATGTCGTGCCATGCAGGGCCCATTCGAGCATAAGCCGACAAGAGAATCTGATCTTCTTCAGCTGTCCACCGACCCTTTTTGATGGACGGATCAAGAGAATGAAACCATCGCTTCCGACAGTCCTTGTGGTCTGTCAGCCCTCATAGCCATTTTGCCTCTGGAAGGTGGAGTGGGTGTAACCTTGGCAGTGCGGTCTTGAAGTGCAGTGGCAATATCTTTCCAATGCCCCTGGGGACCTCGTGCGTCTCCGTAGCGAGCAACGAGCGTCTTTAATGTCACATCTTCGTCAGGGCTCCAAATCTTGCGTGGTCGTGTGGTGGAGTTGGCACGCGGGGAGCATGGCGAGGAGTCTTCTACCGACATGAAAGCGATAGAAGAGATCTATCTTGTTGTTGGCGGTAACGGATTCTTTCTGGATCAGCGAGTCGCGTTAAGCGTAATAGTGATACTCCATGTAAAAGCCTGCTTCAGGTACAGGGTGGAGGAAGGATATCTCTGCACTACTCACCGCTGACCTCATTCGAGACCTGCCCATTTGCTCCCCGCAAAATCTGTGCATGGTAAGGCTCCAAGTTTCCCCGCATTCGAGGTGGGGGTTAGTGCAGTCGACGCAGGAGCCTCTGATCCGGGCCGGGTCACAGCGTTGCGCTACCGGGTTCCGGGCCCGTATATTTCCAACTGCGGGATGACACAGGCGGCTCTTACTTGGTGTACGAATCCGAGGTTCCTCGAGTGTTGAGTCACCTTTGGTGGGTGAAACTCCAAAAATTACCTCACTATCCTGTCTGCACTTGACTAGAAAGTGCATGATGAAGAGTGAAGGTCAGAAGGGAAATTCAATCTGGGTATAGCCTCTGAAGCATATGGCTCTCCGTACTATGAGAGGTGAAGACCCGTGAAGTTACATCTTTATTGCATCCGTTCGAGGCATGTCGTCTGTTGGTGCGTTCTCCCAAGCAACTCGTCCTGGGCGTAAGAACTAGGCATTCAACCGAAGTTCCGTTTGTGAGGTTCCTGCCAAGCGTGGTGAGGCGTCAAACTGAGGCACAGCCACGTCCATTGCTCCAGCTTCTGCATCCGGATATCTTGATGCTGGCAGATCAAGAACATCGCTGATGGGACGTGTATCATGATAGGTGGTGAGGCTTGAGGGAGAAGATCTGAAAAATCGGGAGTAGCATTCACTATCAATGAGGAAATCAAACAAAGTTCTACTTCATGTTATCCGCCCACCTTGAATGACGAGAGCCTACAACGTTGTGTTGCTTAGGTACATGCAGTGATCATTATCTGCGCTACATGTACGATGCTGAACCCAGTT